CCAAAGTCCCACCTACTGCAACTTGCCCCCCTCCCTTTCTGTTCCACCCGTGTGTGCCCGCGCTCCCAATGCAGGCCCGCCTTGAGGGTTTGACTCCTCCCCGCTGCCTTGCCAGGCGACATGGCTTATGCCTCCATTTGACAGATGGGGAAACCGAGGCCTTGGAGACGAGGCGACCTGCCTCAGACTCAGGGCCGTGCCTGGGACGGAAATGCAGGGTGCCTGACCTCGGGCTGCACCCACAGCGCCAGCCTGAGCACTGACAAGGTGGCTGACACGTGATGCCTAAAGTGTGAACTCCTCCGGCCCTCGCCCTCCTCATCAGTAACACATGCAACAATAAGGCACCTCAGGAGAAAAGCCAGAGCAAGCACTCACTGGGTCTGGAGGGGGCCTGGAGAGCACTACCCAGTTGCACTCGAGCAGGTAGGGTTGTTTTGCTGCTGGGGGGTGGGGCTCAGTGCCCGTCTGCTTCTTGGGGAAGAGGCAGCCTTATCACAGGGTTCGCACGCATGGGCTATGGGTTGAGTCTGCAGCATTCAGGGGCCCTGGGGAGCTCCCCAAATGTCCTTCCTCAGGAATAGCTGGTTTATACCAACAGACTCCCCAGTATTTGTCCCACCCTCTGAACCTTGGCCCCCTCCTCTCTGGGCTTCAGGAACAGGGAGCTCAATCTCCACAACTGAGCACCACCCCCCACCCCCCATCCCCGGGTGAGCTGCTGTTCCTGGGGAGAAGCCCAGACAGGCCGGGCCCTGACCCGTGAGAGTTCTTAGAAGAAATGGAGAATCTTTGAAGCACTCACTGTATTTCTTAATCACCTGCCATCCCACCCCACCCCCTCCACACACACATCCCACCCCTCAGGGATGGCAAATAGCACAGCGGTAGGGCGTTTGCCTTGCACGCAGCCAACATGGCCGACCCGAGTTCGATTCCTCCGCCCCTCTTGGAGAGCCCGGCAAGCTACCGAGAGTATCTCGCCCGCACGGCAGAGCCTGGCAAGCCACCCGTGAGGTATTCGATATGCCAAACACAGTAACAACAAGTCTCACGATGGAGACGTTACTGGGCCCGCTCAAGCAAATAAGGACAAGTGGCAATAATGCTGTGTTCCACTCTCGGCTGGCTTTCTACCAACTCAGGGCTGGGGTCTGTGGCGAGCGGCCGCAGAGCAGCAGGGAGACTGGACACGGTGAGAGGTGAGCCCTGCGTCCACACTGCCGGCCCCTGCTCAGAGGAGCCACAGACACCGACTTGCTAGACCGGGAGACGGTGGAATGCAGGGCCCACAGGGAGAGAGCCAGACCCATGCTCGGCACCTCCATGGAGCCAAGCCCAAGTGAGGATACAGATTTGTTGTGCTTTAATACACATCTGGCCAACCAGAGTCCTTTCAGAGAGCAAGTTCCTGTATGAAAATAACAATGAAGTGTTTAAAAATGAAGGGGGGGGGGGAAGTTAAGCAAACAGAGGCCACTTGGGAACAGAGACCAAAAGGGAGGGCCACCTCTTCAGAGAGACACAGCTTGGTGTCAGAGGAAGGCCAAGCCCTGCTCCGCTCACCACGAGGACATGATCTCCTTGATGAGGACGCCAGGTCCTGTGACCATCAGCCCCGGGTTCTGAGACCCCAGAGGCGCTGGCAGGGGTGGGGGTGGGGCCGCAGGAAGGAGGCAGCGGACAGAAAGCACCTGGTTTTTCTGCTCTGTGCTGCACCTCCTGGGAGTTCTTGCAACTACCTCCCTTCTGGTCCTCCCGAGCTTTGGGGGAATCTCTTCCTCCAGGCCAACTTCTCAGCTAAGGGCTGACGGAAGTCTGAGGCAGGGCAGGGCCCAATGCTCATGCTCTCTCTGGCTGGTCCCGCAGAGCTTGATATGGACTCTATCGGGGACACTGGGACTCTCCTTCCGTGGTGGCTGGAACCCGACAGTTACCGAGTCAGGGTTAGACGAGGACAAGGACAGAGGGGCACCATGCAGACCCCTTTCTGCTGGGCTGCAAACCTCTCCCTGGGGCTCAGCGGGCAGGATGTGGTAATGCGAGGTGAAGATGCCCACAGCTTCCTGGCCCGGGCTGGCCTGAAGCGCAGTCTCTGGGCAGCTCCAACCCCACCCCCCCGGGTGGGACATGGTGGAAGACAGGACCCACCCACCGCCAGCCTTGCACTCTCCCACTGCCATCAGCACCTTCAGAGCTGTTGGTCCCTCTTCCCCCGTGGTCCCCTACCCAGCCACACCTAGCAAGTGTGTGTGTGTGGGGGGAGGGGGGACAGTCGCAGAGTCAGCTATGGGGTGACAGGAGGGGCTTGCTCTCCTCCCTCTGATCTCAGCACCATGGGGAGGGGGCACAATCCCCTTAAAATCAAAAGGGAAGTAGACCTGAGGGGGAAGGAATGTGCTGGACATCTTCCAGTAAGAAGGAGCTGAGGGCGCCCCCCATGCAAGCCCAGATTCAGTGCCCTGTCCCTCTGCTTCAAAGGCCCTGGGACACACAGCTGTAAGGCAGACACCAGTGTCCACTCCTCTCGCAGCCTGCATGTGGGCATTAGGACCTCCTGGGTGAACAGGGGCTTCCTGTGGTGGCTGGGACTAGTGCAAGGGACAGGATGCCTCTGGGCATGTGTGTGTGTGTGTGTGTGTGTGTGTGTGTGTGTGTTTGTGTTTGGCACCAGAGGGCAGAACTCCTCCAGGTGAATGAGTGTGTGTGCGCATGAGAGAGGGTATGTGAATGAGTGTGGGTGGATATGAGAGGGCGTGATTGAGTGTGACTATAAGTGTGAGTTGAATGTGAATGAGTGTAGGTGTGAATATGTGTGTGTGAATGAGTGTGTGAACATGACTGTATATGAGAGTGCGTGTAAATGAGTGTGCAAATGAGTGTGATGGGTGTGAATATTGGAGTGTGAATGAGTCTGTGTGAACGATGTGAGTTTGTGACTGAGACTCCGTGTGACTATGAGAGTGTGTGGTTGGCACAGGGGCAAGATTCCTCCAGGCACATGTGTGAATGTTTGTAAATGTAAGACTGTGTCTGTGACTGCGTGTGAGTGAGTGCTGAGTGAAAGTGTATCTGTCAGTGTGCCTGGGGGCAGGACTCCCCCAGCTGTACGTGGCCATGCTGAGCTTACGGGGCACACAGAACCCCCTGCAGGATTCGGCGGCACAGAGCGTGCGCTGAGTGAGGCCCAGCCTCTCACAGCGGTTTCTCTCATGCCAAGGTCCCAGTACCCAGCAGGCCATCTCTGCAGAGCTGCTGGGCAGAGATTCTGGGGGCCCCCAACTGTCCTGGGAGAGCCTGGGGGAGCCCTGTCTTGCTCCCTGAAGAAGCGCTCTGATCAAATGTGTGGGCAATGCCATAAGCTATGCCCAGCCCACTCGCCCCTGGAGCTGGAGTTTGGCTGCAGTCAAGCACGGGACAGAGCAGGACAGCCCGGCAGGACCCCCCACATCTCCCCCACCTTCACCTGCCTGATGCAGAACCTGAGTTCCAAGCATCACGCTCTGGGAAAGACTGGCTGGTGAAGGCAGCCAGCAAGGTCAGCCTGTCCTTACACGGAGCTAGGCCGGGGGCCGGGACACACCTTGGGTGAGGAGGACACCGGAGAGGGGGAAATCCTGGCCCAGAAAGCGTGGGCAGGGGTCTCTCACTCGCCCACACGCGAGGAAAGTCTCAGGATCACCCGAACCCAGAAAAGAGAGATGAAAGGCAGCTTGGCCTTCACCCCCATTTCCTGGCCTGCTCACCAGGGCATGTGGAGGTGCGGTCTGCTGGCCCCCAGCAGAGCTCCTCCAATCACCGCATCCACTCTAACCTGCCCGGGAAGAAGTCGCAAGTTCAGGATGACCAGATGACCAGAAAAAGCGGGAGCAAAAAACATACCAGCACACAACTCGGGGTGCCATGGCCTGAAGCTTGCTGACACCCTTAGAAGGTATCTGTTGGGAGAATCCTTGTTGTATGCACACACACATACATACATACACACACACACGTACACACAGAGTGAACAGATGCTGCATAACTGTGTCTCCTTAAAGAAGAGCTGGAGAGAGTACAATGGACAGGGGATAGGGGGTTTGGCTTGCACACTGCCCACCCAGGTTTTTATCCCTAACATTACATCTGGTCCCTTGAACCCTGCCAAGAGTGATCCCTGAGCACAGAGCCAGGAGTAAGCTCCACCCCCACACCCCAACCCCTCCCCACCCAAAAGGCTCCAAGACATCTTCCTGGTATGCAGATACAATCCTCCCCTCCCCTTCTGTGGAGAGTTCGGCCTGAGTTGGAGGGAGAGAGACTGGGGAGGGGACCGGGTTGGGGGGGGGGGGTCCAGGGAGGGAGCAAGGGAGCAGGCGGGGCTGGGCAGGGCTGGAACGGGTGCGAGCGAGAGCGTGTGGATGAGAAGCAGAAATGCACACCAGGCAAGGGAGAGGCCGCCTCCCCAACGGGTAACTCTGTGCCGGTTCTGCTGGGGGTGTCCTGCAGGCAAAGCCCTTTCTGGAAACTAGTTCTAAGCCCCGATGTGGGAAGCCCGTGAACCTACACAGCGGGCAGAGCTGGGCCTGATCTCTGAGTCTGAACCGGAGCGCGAGCACTGTCTGCTTGTTGAGCATCCCAGAGGCCAGAAAGCCACCCCCTGAGCAAGGCTACGTTTCCCAGCTTCCTTTGCATCCAAGTGTGTGTGTGTGGTGGTGGGGGGGGGGGAAAGCTGTGCCCATAGACAGTGGCCAGTGGCCTAGAGGTAGTCAGGAGCAAGCATTTCAGAGGTGGCCTTGCCTTCTCCATCCATCTCTTTCTCTTTCTGCCAGGCAGAAGCAAAGGCCCAGGAGACGAAGGGGGGATGGGAGGGTCTAGGGATGGCAGAGCTGCGAGATTAAAGGAGCGGGTACCCTGTTGAAGCCACCTGCAGTAGGTAACAAGTCTCTGCTGTGCTTGGGTTGGGGGGGGGTCTGGTCCCGTGGCCAGGACCCTCCAGGGCAGGGAAGCGGGACGACGGAGCAATGAGAGACGAAGGCACTGCGGTGTGGAACAAGCCGGGTCTGTTCCGGGGAGCGGGCAGACACACAGCCTCCACTGTGTGGGCCCCGGGACGCAGGATCAGCTACAGGGATTGTTCCCAGGGGCCCTGGTGTTGCTGACGCTGCTCTCAAAGGAGGAGTGGAAGTTGTGGATGGTTTCCTGCAAGAGCTGCCTCTCGCGCCCCTGCAGAAGAAACGGAGAGAGAGAGCCTCGTTAAATCTTCCAGCCGCTGGTTCCTGCGACACAGCATCGTTCAGACCCGAAAACCCCACAGCGTGTTGGGGAAAGTAGCGGCGCTCGCTGAGAGGATGCCGCGTTTAACAGGAATGGAGTGGGCCAGCAGCTCCCGCAGGGGCAGGACCACAGCCTCCCTGGGCTCCTTCTGGTACAGCGGCCGCCAGGAAAGGCTGGAGAGGCTGTGAGTGACGGACCCGGTGCCTCTCAGGTGATGAGCAGAGCCGTACAGCAGGGCTGCCTGGGCTGGTCACACAGCATGGAAGGGAGCGCTCCCCTTGGTCACCCTCAGGCCTCCTCCTGCCAGCCGTCAAACTTCCAGAGGGTCCCGTGGGAGCTCAGTCTCCTGCCGCAGCGTAACAGAATGAACTGCCCTCGGCCCACTCCTGTCCCCAAGACACCAGAATCCTCTTCACAGCAGCCCCCCCCCCCCCCGTCACCCCACCGCTGTAAGCTACCTGCCTCCACACTCCCGACCTCCACCAGGAGTGGTCTCTGAGTGCGAAGCCATGAGTGAGCCCTGAGCACCACCCCGGTATGGCCCCCCAGATACAAACGAAAACAAACACGGCATAAAAGCCCTTGGTCTCTCGTATGTGGCACTGAAAGAAACACAGGAAGGGAATAACAACCGCCAAAGGCAACAGAGTCTGAGAACTGGTCTACAGAACTGGGCTTACGGGGGGGGGGGGGGGGGGTGGAGGGGGCGGGTACGCCTGGCATGGGCAGGAGGGGAAGTTGGTGGAGGGTGTAGGCTGGAGCAATAGCACAGCATGTAAGGCGTTTGTTTGCCTTGCACATGGCCGACCCGGGTTCAATTCCTCTGCCCCTCTCGGAGAGCCCAGCAAGCTACTGAGTATCTCGCCCACACGGCAAAGCCTGGCAAGCTCCCTGTGACGTATTCAATATGCCAGACACAGTAACAACAAGTCTCACCATTTGTTGTGAGATGTTACTGGTGCCCGCTCGAGCAAATTGATGAACAACGGGAGGGCAGTGCTACGGTGCTGCAGTGGTGTTGGAACACTGTGTGCATGCAACTCTACCATAATTAACAGTATTGTCAGTCAATATTTTTGCCTTCAAAAAAATTGGGGAAAAAAATAAAAATTAGAGCCAAGGCATTCAGACAGAAAGGCACTTGCCTCAAGTGTGGTAGACCCGTGGATCGATCCCAGCACCACAGGGGGTCCCCCAAACCCCACCAGGAATGAACTTTGAGCTCAGACCCAGCAATAAGCCTGAGTACGGCTGGGTATGGTCCCAAAACAAAACAATGAAAACAATATATTCTCCACACACACCCCCCCATCAAATTAAAAAAAAATTCAAAAACCAAAGTGATGGTCCTCAATACTGACCAAAGTGCAGGGCTTTTGGCAATCAGACCCCACTGTGAGCCGATATCTCTGGCTCCTCTTGCAAAGTGCTTTGGGACCCAGGACCATTTACCTTCACTTACACACTTTGATTCTGTTTCCCCGTTTCAGACACCTACCCTGAAGACATAACTGGATGCCTTACGCAGGAAGCTGCCCACCACAGCAGAGAATTATGGAAAGCCTGCAGATCCACATATCCAACAAGTAGGGGTGTACCCAGAAAAGTCATTTTAGTTCATCTATGCAAGTTTATCGTGTGGACGAGAGTGCCTAATGATGTAGGTAACAGCATATATTTAATGTTAAGCAAAGAAAGTAGGGTGTAGAATTATAGATCCAAATTTATCCCGGGCACAGAAAGAAAAACCTTTGGCACAAAGCACTTCCGAGAAGCACTGGCAGATTCTGAGTAGCTGGACTGTGATTCCTCAAAGAATTCTTGTCCCTTTTTGGTACCATGCAAATTTAGCAATAAAAAAAAAACCTATGTAGCTTTTTGATAACCACACAAAGGAAAAGAAAAAGGGACTAGAAAGAAGCAATGGCTTGGGCCCAACTACAAGTGAAAGCCAGGTCATCATCTCTGCTTAAACATCTCTCATACTGGCTGCCTTGGGATGCAGAATGCAGCTCTGGGTATGTGGCTTGAGGGCCAGGGCAGCAGGGCCAGCACGGTGCTGACGTTCGCATGGCTCAGCCAGGCTTTTTATGATCACCATACAGAAACACTCTAGGCTCTGGGGAATGGAGCCATAGTACAGCGGGGAGGGTGCTTGCCTTGTACGCAGCCAACCTGGGTTCAATCCCTGGCATCCTATATAGTCCCTGAACACCACCCAGAGTGATTCCTGCAGAGCCAGGAGTAACCCCTGAGCATCACCAGGTTTGGCCCAAAAATCAAGAAAGAAAGAAAGAAAGAAAGAAAGAAAGAAAGAAAGAGAGAGAGAGAGAGAAAGAAAGAAAGAGAGAGAAAGAGAGAAAAAGGGAAGGAAGGATGCAGGGAAGGAGGGAAGAAAGGATGAAAGGAAGAAAGACAGAAGGAAGAAAGGAAGGAAGGAAGAAAAATAAGGAAGAAAGGAAGGAAGGTAGGAAGGAATAAGGAAGAAAGGGACAGAAAAGAAAAAAGGAAGGAAGATGGAAGGAAGGAAGAGTGAGGAAGGAAGGAAAGAAGGATGAAAATAAAGAAAGAAAGAAAGAAAGAAAGAAAGAGGGAGGAAAGAAGGAAGAAAAGAAGGAAGGAAGGGAGAAAAAGGGAGCAAGAAAGGAAAAAAGGAAGGAAAGAAGAAAAAGAAAGAAAGAAAGAAAGAAAGGAAGGAAAGAAAGAAAAAGGGAAGGAGGGAAGGAAGGATGGAGGGAAGGAGGGAAGGAAGGATGGAGGGAAGGAGGGAAGGAAGGATGGAAGGAAGGAAGATGGAAGGAACAAGGAAGGAAGGAAGAAAGGAAGGAAGGAAGGAAAAAATAAGGAAGGAAGGTAGGAAGGAATTAGGAAGAAAGGGACAAGAAGGAAAGAAAGAAGGAAGGAGGATGGAAGAAAGGAAGGAAGGGTGAGGAAGAAAGGAAAGAAGGAAGAAAAATAAGGAAGAAAGAGGGAGGAACGAAGGAAGGAAGAAGGAAGACAGAAAGGAAGGAAAGAAGGAAGGAAGGAAGGAAGGAAGGAAGGGAGGGAAGGAGGGAGGGAGGGAGGGAGGGAGGGAGAAAAAGGGAGCGAGGAAGGAAAGAAAGTAAAGAAGAGAGAAAGAAAGAAAGAGAGAGAGAGAAAGAAAGAAAGAAAGAAAGAAAGAAAGAGGAAGAAAGGAAGGAAGGAGGGGAGGGATGGAGGGAGGGAGGGAAGGAGGGAGGGAGGGAGGGAGGGAGGGAGGATGGATGAAGGAAGGGAAGGAAGGAAGGAAAGAACAAAGGAAAGAAGGAACAAAGGCAGGAAGGAAGGCGACAGATGGACAGACCGACAAATGTCAGTGTCCGGGGGCTGCCTGCACCTCCCAGCCCAAGGCTCGGCTGGTGCTGCCGGGGAGTGCCAGGGCCCAGCGGCCCTGAAGCTGCGGGGAGATCTCCAGGAAGCCGCCCTCTGCCTGCGGACTCCTCTGCCCCTGCTGAGCAGCAGCCCCGGGTTTCCAATGGGGCGGCTGTGCTCCTGCCACACTGAACTTCCCCCGTTCACACCAGACGCAGCTTCTCCCCTGCACAGCCCTTGCCGGACCAGCCCCCCAGTTCCCTGGGACTACACAGTCAGAGCAGGCACAGATGGGGTGGGAAGACGGTCCAGGGGTGCCTCTGTCTCTTGGAGCGGAGGTGGTGAGCTGGAGGCCCCAGGGAGACCCCTGATGCACACACGGTGCCTCTCCCCCTGTGATGGGGTGGGCAGGGGACTCTCAGCGTCCACCGAGGTCTTCAGATGTCTTCAAGACAGGATGGGGGCCTGGGAAGCTGCTGTGGCCGACAGCTTGCGTCTCTGTTCTCTGCACTGTGAGGGCACCAGAGAGGGCCCTGGCCAGAACTGGCCCTGCCAGCACCCGACCTCGCCCCTGCCCCCCCACCCCCATGTCCAGCCTCCAAGAGGTAGGAAACACACTTGCACTGTCCAGATTCTGTGTGGTGCCGTCTCAACTCAGCACAGGCCGTCCGGGTGGCTTCCCTTGCCGGGGCCTGCCTGGAGAGAATGCAGACCGCTGCAGGGACAGAGGGGCAGCTGGCCTGATATGGGGAAAATGCTCAGGGAACCGGCTTCCTGTGCAGCGGGCCTCTGCGTCCCTCCATCCACCCTGCCAATATAGCCGCACCTCCCCAGGCTGGCACACGGGCAGGAATGCTTCGCTTTCTGCCATCCACATCCACATTCTGAAAGCCACAGCCACAGAGGGTTGCGGGGAGGTCCCAGAGGCACTAGCACCTCTGGACTCCGGGCCAGGCATGGGTGACTCCCTGTCAGGGCTGCCTCCCTCCTGCAGACCCGACTGACTGACCCCAGGCTCCCTCCTCCATCCCTGCCTTGGCTCAGACATCCGCCCCGCTGAGAAGGAGAGGGGGGGCCCTACAGCTCCTGAGTCTTGGCCCCACCCCAGCCCTGCTCCCCTGCTCCCCTACTCCCCTCTCCCTGAAGCCCTCACCCACCTGAGCAGGTCACCCAGAACCACCCTGGGAGCAAAAGAGAAACAGAGAGAGAGAGAGAGAGAGAGAGAGAGAGAGAGAGAGAGAGAGAGAGAGAGAGAGAAGGAGAGAGAGAGACCGAGAACCAGAAAGCTAGAGAGAGCCACAGAAACCAAGAGAGAGATACAGAGAGACAGAGTGACAGACCCAGAGAGAGCCAGAAAGAAACAGAGAGACAGAGCCACAGAGAGCCAGAAACAGAGAGAGAGAGAGAGAGAGAGAGAGAGAGACAGAGAGACAGAGAGACAGAAAGAGAGAGAGGAATATATGTGGCCAGCACCAGAGTGCATGCATATGCATGTGTGTGTGTGCTTGTGTATACATGTGTGTACACATAAACATACACCCATACATCTTCACATGGGTGAAGCCCGTGCTTTCCTGCAGACTCAGCTCCGGCCTCCGCGCCCCTCCAGGCCTTTGATGCCCCCCAGGGTCGTGGCACCCATGCTTCTTTTGCCCCATGGTCACCCCGCTCCCCTCTTCCTCCCCGCAGTGCCTACCAGCCCCAGCCTCTACAGTCCCCAGGGCCTCTCCCCCGGAGCATCCCCGGCACAAGCAGCCTCTCCCGTGTGTCTCCTTGCGGGTTGATGAGGTGGCAGGACGGCAGCAAGGTCGGGACACACACTCAGGGCGCTGATCCCGGCTCTGCCACTTACTGGCTCGGGCCAGTTCTTTGACCTCTCTGTACCTCCGCATCCTCATCTGAACATGAACCAAGCTCGGGCGGTGTGTTTGTCAGGATTAACGGAACGACCAGATGGGACGTGCTCAGGGCTCTGAGCAGAGATCGCCTGGGACTCCGCAGACGAAGGGCGGCTGTTCACACACACAGCTACGCTCCCGAGACTGCAGAGCTCCTGCAGGTGAATCCACCTTCCGAGCCTCAGCCCCTGGGTGTCAGCCCTCCCCAGGAGCCTTGCTGGAGACCGGTCTGAGCCTCGGGCTGCCTGGGCCCCGGAACGGGGGAGCCACGTGGAGGTGCGGGCCACTTAGAGAAGAAGAGAGCAAATAGTGAGGTCGGGAAGGAAAAGGCTTCGCCTTAGGATTATGCTCAGCAAATTGAGTCAGAAGGAGAAAGACAAACAGTGGGTGATGTCATTCCCCCGAGATGACGAGGACACACCAGCAGAACCAAACCCAAACAGAGCCCTGGGTTCTGACGGCAGAACTGGGGCGACGGGGTGGGAGGAGGGGTCCGGAGGTGAGGGGGCTGCAGTGGGACGCGGGACGACTCTGCCCCCAAAACACAGGCAAGTGTCGTAAGCCAAGGTCGTTGCCACCCGCAACGCGACATTAGTTGAGCTGAAGCATCTTCCCCTTTAGAACATGCCCAGCCTGGGCTAGGGAAAGAGTGCAAGGCGTAGGGAGCTGGCCTGGCACGCAGCAGACCCCGTCTGATCCCTTATGGTCTGCCGAACGTGGCCAGGAGCAATTCCTCAGTGCAGAGCCAGAAGTACCCCCGAGGGTTGCTGGATGTGACCCAAAAACAAACAAACAAGGAAGGAAGGAAGGAAGGAAGGAAGGAAGGAAGGAAGGAAGGAAGGAAGGAAGGAAGAGAAAGAAAGAAAGAAAGAAAGAAAGAAAGAAAGAATTAAGAAAGAAAGGTGACAGGCAGACAGACAAACAATGGCTATGTCCCAGGGTGAAAGAAAATAAGGAAGGAAGGAAGGAAGGAAGGAAGGAAGGAAGGGAGGGAGGGAAAGAGAGAAAGAAAGAAAGAAAGAAAGAATTAAGAAAGAAAGGTGACAGGCAGACAGACAAACAATGGCTATGTCCCAGGGTGAAAGAAAATAGGGAAGGAAGAAAGGAAGGAAGGAAGGAAGGAAGGAAGGAAGGAAGGAAGGAAGGAAGGAAGAAAAAAAGAAAGAAAGGTGACAGACGAACAGACCAACGATGGCTATGTCCTAGGGCTGCCTGTGCCTTCCAGCCCAGCCAACATCCCAAACCCCACCGGCAGGCAGGACCACGAGGTTCCAGGGGGTTGGAATGCTGCCCGGGGACACTGTGCCACCGCAGGCCAGAGCCCGTCCACAGCCTGAGTGCGCCGGCACATGGCTTCAGTTGACTGGAAGAAGCGCCACGGGGGTTGGTGATCTCGAGGCGGCGCTAAGCTGCGGGACGCCGGGACAGGGCAAGGACAGTACCTTGCCTGCGTTCAGTTCTGAGATTGCCGCCAAGATCTGCTGCCGGGATCCATCCGTCTTGATGCCCAGCTCCTTCAGGTCACCGTCGGTGAGGGTGAGGAAGGCCTCCATGTCCACCTGGGGTGGGGGAGAGGGGGGGGTCACGTTCAGCTCCTTCCCCATGCCCCCAGTGCTGGGATCAGGAGCTGTCTCGGTGCCCACCGGTGGCAAGTGCACTAGGAGGGAACCGCTCTCCACTCCTGACTCAGCACTGAAAGTTTAATTGGAATCACGGCAAGGATGAGCACTGGCTAGTGCCAGCCCCAGGGGTGCTCAGGACCCCCAGGGCATTGGCAAACAACAGCCTGGAAATAGAGAAGAAGAGGCAGCCATGACTCAGACAGTTGGGACAGCCGGTGGGGGTGGGGATGGCGGCAAAGTCTCGAGGTTAGAAGGGGGATGCCGGGATGGTGGTCCCTGGAGCACTATGGGGGACAGTGCAGAAAAGGTGGGTCTGGGGAGGTACTCACCACGCTTCCCTCTCCCAGGACAAGAGAGAGGCAGACTGTGGAAAGACAGAGAAAGTCAACAAGCAGGGCCTGAGAGAAAGTTCCATGAGCTATGTGAGCATTGTGCATGCGGGGGATGGGGCTCTGATCCCCAGGATGGCACAGTGAGGGGGAGAGGGAAGAAGGGAAGGAGGGAAGGAAGGAAGAAGGGAGGGAAGGAGGGAGGGAGGGAGGGAGGGAAGAAGGAGGGAAGGAGGAAAGGAGGGATGGAGGGAAGAAATGAAGGAAGGAGGGAAGGAGGAAGGGAAGGAGGAAGGGAAGAAAGGAGGGAAGGAGGGAGGGAAGGAAGAAGGAAGAAAGGTGGGAGGAAAGGAAGGAAGGAAGGAAGAGAGGGAGGGGGAAGGAGGAAGTAGGGAGGGAGGAGAGGAGGGAAGGAAGGAGGGAGAGAGGGAAGGAGGGAGAGAGGAAGGAAGGAGGGAGGGGAGATGGAAGGAGGGAGAAGGAAAGAGAGAGAAAAGGAACGAAGCAAGGAAGGAAAGAGAGGAAGGAAGGGAGGGAGGCAAAAAAGAAAGGAAAGGAGGGAAAGAGAAGAGAGAAGGAAGGAGAAGGAAGGAGGGAGGGAAGGGGAGAGGAAAGGAAGGAAGCGGCAAGGCCTCAGCTCGCCTCACAGCACAGTAAGGGCACCTCTGGCAGGAACTCCAGGCCCTCCCTCTGTGCCACCTGATCCCCAGGGCCCAGGGGCGGCTGTCAGTGAACAGAGACCGCAGCAAACCCACCGGGCGCACGCCCTGCCTTCCCCTGGAAACGCTGAAGGGGCCCATCCCAGCAGGCCTGGGGGAGGTGCACCCACTGATTGGCCCCCTGCCCCCCGCAGCCCAGCTGAAGGAAGGGGGAAAGAGGGGACGAGTCACAGCACGCGTCCCCGTGGGAAACAGAGGCACTTCCAGAGTCAGAAGCGGGATTTCCCGAGAGCAGGCGGGGCCTCTCCGTGTCCTTTTCCGGGCAGAAGAACACACAAGCACGAACGCACAAGCCCCTCACGCTGGGCAGCCTCCTGGGCCAGGAGAAAGCACATGGCTGAGGTCTCGCCCAGCAGCAGGCCTGGGTGCGAGGCCCAGTGGCCAGGCCGGCAGGGGAGCCTGGGGCCAGCGCCTGCTCCTGGAGCCAAAGCACCAAACTCCTCAACAGCACCAGCACCGGCTCAGGGATGCTCCCGGCTGCAGGAGTCACACCCGTTGCCATGGCCTGCACTGGGCGCCAGAAGGTTCCAAAGCAGCAACTGAACCCCACTTCCTCCAGGGGCTGATGGATCAGCAGAAGGGGGTTATTTGGACAAAAATGGTAAAAAAAAAAATCTTAATAGCTTCCTGGGAGACAAAGCACTTAGTAAACACTAAGTATGAGATAGCCACTGATTCTGGGGATAGCCTCAACGTTGGTTCTTTCTCATCCTCACAGTCCGGCCCCTCCTCGTTGCTGGAACCAGGGTCCAGCCGGTTGGCCTCACAGAGCAGCTGCTTCTGGACGCCACATAACAACAGGACCGGGCCTCATGCGACAGGGCCTCTACCTGACCTGCAGCTTGCTGCCCTCTCTGACCCCTGAGAACTCAGTGCAGCAGACGCCCCTCTGCTAAAAGCACCTGCCCGCTGAAGGCATGGCTGGGTGTGTCCCCCTTGGGCTGTGATGGCCAACACAGCCGTGAATCTTGCCAAGGAGCTTCTGTACAGACACAGCTGTTGGTTCTCTGGGCCACAGACCGGGCAAGGGGGATTCTGTGTGGTGTGTGTGTGTGTGTGTGTGTGTGTGTGTGTGTGTGTGTGAACAGTATCCAACAATACATGGCTGGTCCATGCAGAACTGCCAAACGGCAGCTGGGAGGCAGGTTTCAGTGCGATGGGGTGAGCCTCCAAGCAGACAGGGACTCTGTCGGATGAGTTCTAGGAGACGGTGAGATCCAGACAGGCCTCAGAGATGCACTGGCCCATGCTTTTCACCTGCTCTCACCCCCTTTGCTTCAGCCGTCCCCTTCCATGCGGCTGCTTTCAGGGTGGACGCACCCTTTGCGGAGCCGGAACCAGGCTCATGACAAGAAGAGTTCCGTTCTGACAGAACCAGTCGGAAGGTCCCCAAGCCCTACTGTGACCCACTGAACAAGACGGGCCCAGCACCAGCTCTGTCTCCTGGGCTGTCTCCCAGGACCTGCCCCAGCGCTGGGGCATGGAACGACAACCTCCGTTCCCCATGGCCCTGTCTGTCACACGGCAGGAATCAGCACCGACACGTTCAAGAAGGACACTCTTACCTCCTGCTCCTCGAAAATGGGCTGGTACTTTTCAAGGGATAACTTCTTCAGGATTCCAGTCAGCTCATCTGTGCAGGGGGGGCAAAGCATACAGACAGACCCGACTCAGAACTTGGGGGACTGCCTGAGAACCAGGTGCTCAAACTCCCCTAGAAGTGCCATCTGACTCCTGATGGAAGTCTGAGGGCTCGGCTGGGAGCGTGGGCATGTGCAGGGGCTGGAGGGGAGCTGGAGGCTGGCCCGGGGCCCCTGCCCCCACACTCTGTGGGTCCAGGCCCTGGGCCGAGTGGCGCTGAGGACGAGGGTTGGGGTGTTTTATGAACCAGCCGGCCTCACTGCCACTATGGCCACCACCACCGCCAACGTCCGGGAGCCCCGGCTGCCATCCGCCCCAAGCAGCTCCGAACGCTCTCCCGGCCCTGAGGTTGCACCTGTGGGAGCTTCTCCCGCCAGCAAGGCCTCTGGCTCTCCAGAGAAAGAGTTTTAGGGGGGCTGGAGACTTGAATTTGGGGGATCGACTAAAGCCTCCCGAGGGAGGGCAGAATCTGAAGAGGCAGGGCCAGTAGGAAGGGATGTGTGTGCATGTATGTGTGTGTGAATGTGTATGTGTGTGAATGTGTGTGCGCATGTGTATGTGTGTGTGGTATGTGTGCATGTGTATGTCTGTGGCGTGTACAATTGTGTGGTGTGTGCATGTGTGTGTGCATGTGTACGTGTGTGGTGTGCATGTGTGTGTGCATGTATGTGTGTGCACGTGTGTGTACGTGTGCCTGTATGTGTATGTGGTGTGTGCATGTGTATGTAGTATGCGTGTGTGGTGTTTGTGTGTGTACGTGTATATGTGCATGTGTGTGTATATGTACGTGCGTGGTGCATGTGAGTGTGCATTTGTGTATCCGTACATGTAACCCACGCCTGCAGCTTCCAAAGCTCTCCCCCAGCACTTCTGTTCCGCCCAGAATCACTGCAGACTGTCAGCTTCCCTTTGAGGCGCTCCTCTCCCTCTCCCAATCCACAGACTTGGCAGGGCAGACCCCAACCCTGACCCTGGCCACCAGCAGGGGCCCCAGGAAACCTCAGTGGGAAAGCATCTATCCTTTAATCCCAAGGCCGCTGAGTTTGATCCCGAGCACTGCCCCCTGCCCTATGCTGAGTTCTGAGCTGGCTGAGAGATCACCTTTGGGGATTCCTGGCACCATCACCAAAAATAAAAAAGTGTGTGATCCCTCCGCACTGGAACCAAGTGCATACTCCCCCACCCCTGCCCTTGCCAAGTCATCACGGCAACAACCAAGGGAAAGGAGGGAAGATAAACCGGGCCCACCCTCCCAGGACACACATAGCTACAGTGGCCACACGCCCCAGTCATAGGGCCAAGGCAGACCAATGACCCTCACCCCAAGATTTTGCCCAATCTGCTAAGGATGGACCTCTCTCAGTTGGAGCTGCTAGTGACAGGAAGGAATCAGTGTGCGGAGGTTGGGGAGAGCCCTGCCACCCTGGAGAGCACCCCCCCATCAGTGGGAGAGGAGGACCCCTGGAGCAGTTGACAGGGACCCCCCATCCCACCCCACCGCACAGGAAGCCACACCCGACCCATTTCCTGCTTTCACTCTGGCTCAGCCCAGTGTGAAAGTCCTTTACCCGGAGCCAAGACCATGGGGATTTGCACAGACTCAGGGGGATACACACACCTACACACCTGGGGTCTGGGAAGCAATTCTCCAGGCGTGCGTGCGTGTGCGCGCGTGTGTGTGCTCACGCGTGCAAACAAAACTCCCCACTCCTCCTGCAACACCGATTTGCAGGAGGCTGTAATAGCTTTAGCTCAACGAGCCCCAAAGCAAGCGTGGGGACAGGAGCGGGGGCGGCCGGGCTGTCAGCCTGAAGCTTTCAAAGCCGGCCCAGAGCCGTGAGGGTGACCGAGGAGGTCACGGTGGAATGCGGGAGGGGACTCACCCTCGTCGGTGATGGTGCCACTGCTTGAGCCCCCACTGCTCCGGGACTGCCGGTGGGACGAGGAGGAGGACACTGAGGACTCGGCCGCGTGGCCCTTGGGTGACGGGGAGGGGGTGAGGGTGGGGGGAGGTGCTCTTGGAGGCGCTGGAGGCCCCCGACGGAGGCCGCTTGTTCAGCTCCAGCTTCTGTGGGTCAGACCAGACAGACATCCGTGCCATCAGCCGCAGGGCAGAGGCCACACTGACCACCTCTCCCTCCACACTCAGGAGGGCCAGACCTGCCTCAGGAAACAGACCAAGCAGCAAGCACCTTCTGAGCGCAGTGCCAGGGGAAGCAGAGGTGGGTGGGGAAGAGGGGCGCCCACTGTATTGGCCAGCATCCCGTCCTGCTCTCCACTATCCCTGCCCCGAAGGGAGAGTGCAGGTTATCAGCTACCCTTGATGACCGCATAGAGACGGCCCGCACCCCGTCTCTGGACCAAAGAACGCCCTCCTACATGCAGGTGGTTTAGCTTTGTTGATCTTTTTCTTTAAGCCTTTTTTCATTTTTTTTTAACCTACCATCAGCCCCACACATACTTGTGGTTAGTTCCAACCACTGAGCAGTCCTACTAACCCCTGTTTTCCCTGGCCATGGATATTTTATATATATATATATATACATATGTATATGTATACTTAATATATCACTTGACATCCTGTTACTCATCGATTTGCTTGAGGGGCACCAGTAATGTCTCCATTAGACCCTGTCGCGTGCTAGTGTAGCCCAATGGCGTCTGCTTGTTCTACGAACACGAAGAGCCTCAAACCGATTGTTCAGTAAATACTTTATATATTTGTGGCATTTGCGGCCGCGCGACCTGTTATTCTCTAGTTCTCGCTCTCAGAGAACCTGACAGGCTACTGAGAGTATCCTGCCCGCATATATGCCTGACTGGGAACACCTGTAAAGGTGATTAGAGGCTGCTCCAAAAGCCTCCTTCCCTCTCGGAGAGCCTGGCAAGCTACCGAGAGTATCTCGCCCTCATGGCAAAGCCTGGCAAGCTACCCGTGGCGTACTCGGTATGCCAAAGACAGTAACAATGATGGTCCTCATTCCCCTGACCCTGAAAGAGCCCCCAATATGTCATCGGGCTACAGTAGCACGTGACAGGGACGAATGGAGACATTACTGGGCCTGCTCAAGCAAATCAATGAACAACGGGGTGATAGTGATAGATATACCACAAATATCTTTAAGCCTTTTTATTCTGAAATATTTTTTTTTTACTTTTTTGGGTCACATCCGACGATGCTCAGGAATTACTCCTGGCTCGGCACTCAGGAATTAGTCCTGGCATTGCTCGGGGGGCCATATAGGATGCCAGGGATTGAACCAGGATGGCCGCATGCAAGGCAAACGCTCTACCCGCTGTACTATCGCTCAGCCCCCCCCCCCCCCCCGAAATGATCTTAGACTGACTCAAGAGTGGCCCTGACAAGACAGAGCTCCCGTGAGCCCCTCCCTCTGGTCCTGCCATTGTACCCAGCCCCAGAACGACTCTCCAAAGGAAGAAGGGGACCCGAGACCCCAAGGCTCACCATACTATAGATGGCCAACTTCACTCCCACCCCTGCTGCAGCCCAGGGCCCATCCTGCACCCCATGCACCCACACCAGCTGCTCCTCTCACCTGGTGGTTTGTGACTCAGACATCCCGCAGGGTCCTGCCCAGCTCTCTGCAGACAGACCCGTCACCAGGTGTGCATGGGGGCAGCTGGCACAGCTGGCACAGAGCTGACATGCTGTTCTTGGGGCATCACACTGGCGGGCAGCTGGGAACCCAGGGCTCACTGCCACATCTGCCCCTTTCATGCTGTGGCTTGGGGTTGGGTGGGCGTTCACCACCCCCTTCCCCCTGCTCGTGAAGTCCCAACTCTTCCCTTAAGGCAGGAGCACTGGTTGGTGATGGTGCTGGGAGCGAAGCATCTCGCTTCTCCTGAAACTTCACCAGTGTCCTGCACTCTCGGCCGGGTTCTATCTGGACACTGAGGCCGCCATAGGGTTGGGGAGTGCGTGGCTCCCCAGACCCGCCTTATTTACTGCCTGCAGTGCTCCTGGGGGGAAGGACTGCTCCTTCTTCCTCATGATTTTATTAGGTTACTCATAGTTACTCATAGTAAGGTGGTCTCGTGGATAGTGAGTTTGGTCTTTGCACAACAATGCAACATCTGAGCATTTCTGTCTATGCTCAAATGCATAGTCTATGCAGTACTGCAAAAACATAAAGTATACATGTATATAAGGTAAAGGTAAAGGCCCTCCCGTTGATCATCGATTTGCTCGAGCGGCCCAGCAACGTCTCCATTGGAGACTTTGTTGTTACTGTGTTTGGCATATCAGATACATCATGGGTAGCTTGCCAGGCTCTACCCTGCGGGCGAGATACTCTCTGTAGCTTGCCGGGCTCTCCGAGAGGGGCGGAGGAATCGAACTTGGGTCGGCCATGTTGGCTGCGTGCAAGGCAAACTCCCTACCGCTGTGCTATCGCATGTATATATGCATAACTAAAATATATTAGTCTGCATTCTGTATTACATAGTGCACTGTATTCGATATTAGCATGTAAGCACATAAATTTATCTATAAAGTTGCTTAGATTGCTGCGTCATGGTCATCAGGCCCCTTCAGACAGGCTCCTGTGCCCCTTTTCACAAGTTCTTCATACTTTCATTGGAGGGAGCCTCTCTTACAGTGCACAGGAGAATACCAACTCTATACCTGGCAGTTTTGGGCAGGGGGTTGCTGAGACTGAACTCCAGCCCTCTGAGCATCCCCCGAGAGGTCAACTCGACTTTGAAAAGCATCTCCTTACTCTCTGATGCCATGGTGCACTCCAGGCTCAACCCTTGTCATCACTGGTCTAGAACCGGCACAAACCACTTCTCCAAGTGCCTGCTCCTTTATATTGAAAAATGGTGCTTAAAAACCCAAACCTGGGTGTGGGGTTGCTCACTGCTACTGGGGTGTCCCATCGAGGTTTCTCTTGGAGCACAGAACAAGGTCATAGGTGAAGGAGATGTGCCCCCCCAGAACCCCAATTAGCTCTTTGGGCAAATCATATCTGTCCATACATGTCTGTACATAAAACAGACATCGTTTAAGCCTAGCTTGACTTCAATTTGAGAACCACGGGGTTAATTTCTTCTGGGTTTATTTTTGGGGGGGTGTTTTTTGGTTCTCATGCGGCGATGCTCAGGGGTTATTCCTGGCTCTGTGCTCAGAACTTACTCCTAGAGGTGCTCAGGGGACCATACGGGATGCCGGGGCTAGAACCCGGCTTGGCCGTGTGCAAGGCAAGCACCCTACCTGCTGACTACCTCTCCAGCCCCACACGGTTCATTCTAGCACTTCCCTTTCAGTCTCTAAAAGTTAAAACTTGGGCTCAATACATGACAGTTTCAGAACTGCTCATTCATATCCGGGGAGGTGGGGGAATGTAGCTGTGAGATGTATATATTCACTTTCTCACACAGGGACAACCAATTATTCCAGCCCTTTTGGCTGAAACAACTACTCTTTGCAGAACTGTCTTTGCACCATTTGTTTAAAAAATGGCAGCTGACCACTGCTGTGTGGTTTTATATTGGCCAGTCTAGTCTATTCCACTGATCTATGTGTGCTCTTTCACCGAAACCTGACGGCAGCTTGGCCATAAATCCTGAAGCTAGAGAGTCTGAATTCTTCCAATTTCATTCTTTTTCATCATTCTTTTGGGTCTTGTTTCTTCACATTTTACTGAAAATTCAAGAGTCAGCTTCTTACATTCTGCGAGGGTTCTGACTGGGACTGTGCAAAATTTGTAGATCATATTGCAGAAAACTGGTATCTTCATATGGAAACTTCCTAATCATTTAAGCTTCTTTGATTTTATTCCTTTTGTTGCTTTCAATTTACACATTCTGCTCATAGCTTATTCTATTTCTATACCTAAGTACCTTTTTTAATAGCTTATTTTTAACACATAACACACTCCCAATGTGTTATTATAAGTCCTTTTTTTAATTTTAAATTTTAAAAAGGCAACTGTCATTTTAAATTGGCATTTGTATGCTGACATATTCCTGCTAGGAACCAACTCATGAGTGGTGCACAGAGTTTTTGTGCAGATTTTCTGGAGCTTTGCAAGCAGACAGGGATGCCACTTAAGGGCGGAGAGTTTCATATATTTCTTTCCTGTGTACCTCTTATTTCTTTTTCTTAATTTACACAGCTGCAGGGTCTGTGCAAAGCTGAGAGGCTCAGATGTGACAGAAACATCCTCGTCCCGGACCTCCAGGCCAGAAGCTCTCTCTCCCTCAGGCAGGAGCTTGGCCTGTTTTCCACCCATTTCAGGAGGTTCTTCAGCTTCCCATGAGCTGAGGGTTCTGACCCATGAACAGAGTTTGCACTCTTTTCTCCTGCATTTCCTTCTTTAATCCATTAATATGATGGATTATGTTGGTTTTCCTACTGCTGGATTAGATCTGCATTGCTGGGATGAACCCACTTGGTCAGAATGTATTACCCCTTAAAGTATCACTGAGTAATATTTTGTGGAGGGTTTTCATATTTATGTTTACAAGAGCTAATGGTCTGCCATTTTATTTTCCTGCAAAGCCATGAGGGTGCATCCTTATTTCCTATTACCAGGGAGAAAGGAACAGTTCGTAATGACAGAGAGATCTATTCTCCTCTGTGACTGTGGGTTTTTTTTTTTATTTCTAGCATTATCATTGTTTCTTACCTTCGTCTCTCTCCTGAAAAAGTCACTCACAGAATCCTTGTAGGTTCAAATTTCCCATTAGAGCCTTTAACACGAGTTTATTTTACTAGAATAACTTAAGTTCTTTTAAATACTCTGTCACGTCGTTCAAGTACCTAGGTGAACCATAACTCAGAACCTGATTTTGCTTTGTTCCTTGCCTCTCTGGACCTAATTTTGGTTATGAAATGAACACCTTGTGTAGGATAGGAAAAACAAAGATAAACAGCTTGTAGGCCTATATACACAACACTCCACGCCTTCTGCTAAGATGTGCTCCTTTGAGCTAACTACAACCTAGATTGAAAAAAAAAAAAAGAAAGCCCCTCTTGTTTGTTTTGAAAGACTGTCAACAAGCTTGCTATACTATTGGATTCTTCCCCCCAGCTTTTTTTAGAAAGATATTCCATAGGAAAGTTTCTGATTAAGCTAGAGATCATCACTCGGAGATGCCTGTAAAACAGACCTAGCCGGTCAAGTAAAAAAAGCGTGGTCCCCTGGTCCCCCATGGGCAGCACTGCTGGGGGAAGGGCAGCTAAATGCGATCACTTGGTCTGCTCCCATCGGAACCATCCCCAGTGCCCAGCGAGGCAGCCTGGCTGCAGGGGTGACGTCACTCCTAACCGTGTCCTGGATCCACACACTGGGGGCGGGGGGTGGGGTTGCTGTGGGGCTGGAGGAGGTTCCACAGTGGATGCACAGACTTGCCTCCCACAGCTTGAATGGTTTTCACCTTCTGCCTTCCGCTGCTGACACAAGAGCGTGCCTGAGCTTGCTGTGGACACGCATGACCCAGTTATCCCGGCCACTCTGGCCAGCAGCCTGGTCCCCCCAGGCCCAGAGGACTGCCTCCGTCCAGGCCCAAAACTGCCAGCCTGCAATTCGCTGGCCAAAACACGCGCTTTCAGTTTCAAACCACTGCATTTTTTGTGGGTGGGGAAGAGGAAGGTGATCTGGCCTGGGCCTGTGGGCAATCAGAGAGCTGGGAAGTTTTGACCCCTGGCCTGACCCCCTGCATCCTATGCCTCCTGGACAGACTCCTGCAGATTTGCAAACACAGACACCTGCCCCTACCCCTGACTACTGCTCCCCTGTAAGTCTGGCGGAGTGTGTGCCCCTGCAGCTGTGTATGACCCCTGCAGTTGTGACCCCCTGCAGGTGTGGCCCCTGAAACTGACTGAGACCCCCTCCCCCAGTTGTGACCCCCTGCAGCTGCCTGTATGCCCTGGCTGAGGCACTTGCCCTTCGCAAAGCACGGCATTCAGGGCTGTAGGCGCAGACTGAATCTTGAATTCTTCCCCAGAGTCTCTGAGAACTCTGGGAGCCCCAGGCTTGCTGCTGGAGCTTCTGACAGGGAAGTTTGGTCCCTGATGCTCTGACCTCGGGGCTGGCGGGCAGAGGAGAACACGTTTCCCAGACTTTCCCCTGAGAATCTCCCCCCTGGGACGCCGCTCGGAGCCCAGAACCCTGACTTTTCAATAAGCCCCTCAGGGTCCCAGGACGTGATTCTGCTGAAAAACCAAAAGTCAGGGGGTGGGTCAAGAGCCAGTCGCCTGGTTCCTGGGTTCTGACAGTCCTGTTCTCGGAACACACGGGTCCAAAGGCATCAAGAGACCCAAGAGTGATCCAACTTCCACCCAAGGAGAGGACTCCTAACCAGCACGCCCCAGAGGCTCATCCGAACCGAAACAAAATTTTAGACAACAGAGAAGAGGGAAACTACCAAAGCCCTGATGAGAGACTAACGGGAAGGAGTAGCCCGGAGTACCCTACAGCCGAGGCAAAATAATAATAATACATAATCAAATACAGTAATTATCTAAATCTGCTGAAAGAAATTGTATCAAAGAATCAGGGGAGACTTTTTTTCAAGAACTGAATTCAAAGAGAAACTTAATTGCACGGTTCCTATTACACCTGTGATTTGAGCCCAGTGGAAAAAATTGTGCTAATGTATAGGAGAGAGAAACTTTTTCTGGAGCTGTGGCCTAGAAGGAACCTGGTTATGTAGGTCCGAGGGCTTAAGGGAGTTTGAGTCACAGTTGTGTGACCCAGGTGCTGGGCCAAAAGCGCTTGCTCACAGGCCTTCAGCATCAACCTGCAGTGCACCCTCTGCGCAGAGGCCAGCGGGAGGCTTTCAGGGACCCGACTTCTCCAGATGTCTTAAGCTTTGTCCCTGAGGGAGGCTGTGCCTGAGTTTGGGGGGTAGGAGGACACTGGGAGGGGGGTCTCCCTCAGAGGAGGCAATGGACTCTGATGCGCCAAGGGGAGCACCTGGAGGGCCACCTGGGGGAGGAACTGTTTCCCACTCACTCCCTCCACCAGCTTGCAGCAGGGGGCTCAGGAGGAGGGGTGGGGTCAACCCTGAGCCCCACCTCAGCGCACTGGGGCTTCTAGAGTCCCCCCGCACCCAGCAGCACCCAGCACGGCCCGGCCCGCGAGTTCAACAGGATTGTTCTGGGACCCGCGCCCTGTTGGGGTGTGGGGGCTGGGTCAGTGCTGGGGCAGGCAGGCGAGGATCTGGCAGGGCCCTGCCCCCCAACCTTCCTCCAGCTCCACTGGGTACCGCACACGCTGCTCCTCCCCATTCACCTGTCCCTCAGGTAGGTTCCTCGGGAGGCTCACGGCCCAGGTGAGACCACAAGTCCATCATGACCCCCAGGAAGCAGCTGCTGAATCCCACTTCAGGGCTAGGGACCTCGCACTGGCAGCGCAGGGGCACAGAGTGGGCAGTGCAGGGGAGGTGGGCAGAGGGGGCCCGATGTTGCCCAAGCCATTGAGGGACACACCGGACCCACCGTGGACAGCCCCCAGCCCCCTGTGAAGACGGACGGTCCGCTCCTGCTCTCCCTTCACTTTTCTGCGCCCGCGTGGGGGAAGGGGATCAAGCATGTGTTCCCCCACAGGACCCTGGGGGGGCCCTGCAGGGCAGGTGGGAGCGAACACAGGGTGCAGTGCAGGGGCCCAGTGCACCAGGCTGCCCACCCCACTCCCCAGGCCTCCCGGGAGAGCCCCCGCGCTGGGGAAGGTGGGCAGCTGCGGGGAGCCTGGATGCAGTCCCTGTGCCCTGCTCGTGTCCCGCTGGGACCACAGGTGAAGGTGTGTGCAGAGGAAGAGGGGGACCCAGCACGCACCTTGCCTCCGGGTCCGCCCCCTGCTGCAGGCGAGCTGGGGAGCTCGGTGGAGCCAGAGCCCGGGGCTGGGCCCACGGGACTCGACCGGTGGCCGGGCTTCTGCTCCGACAGCCCCGCGGCCTTCTTCCTCTGGGCTGCGATCTGGGACAGGACACTGTCGATGCTGCCACCTGGGGGACGAGGACGAGGAAGGAAGGACGGTGAGCGGGGCTCTCCGTGTGCCTTGTGGGCAGGGCCCACCACGGGCAGGCGGCTGGGACTGGCCACCAGCAAAGGACAGGATAGGAGCGGAGAAGGTGCCGCCTGGGGTATCCTGTCCCCAGAACCACGAAAGGTCAAGCGGCCTCCGCAGCCGCCACTCCCCATGCCTCCTGCTGGCAGCTCGCACCCATCTGTCTGGCCCCTTCCGAGCCCTGAGGGGAGCCTGACAGCCTCGCTGGACAGAGCTGGTCAGCCACATCCCCATTCCCCACAAGCAGCCCTGGGGGTACCTCGTTCTCTTGTGCTCACTCTGCTTCTCCCCATCTACGCGAACCGCGCGGTGCGGCGCGTCAGTCTGCAGGGAGAGGCAGAACAAGGACGGCCAGGGCAGGGGGGTGGGCACAGCAGCCCGGGGGAGCGGCAGAGGACTGTCACAGAGCACTGGGAGTCAACACTCCACCGTCTCCTGAAAAGCCCTGGGTGCAGCAAAGAGGAAGCTGCTGATGCAAAAGCCGCTGACACCTTGCGTGAACAGAACGCCGCTCTCATATTCTATTCCGAGATCTCAGACGTGCTCTCAAGTTGCTGCCACGAGCGAAGTCGCTCCTGCCTCTGGCCTACCGCAGGAGGGGAGACCCCAAGTCTGTTCCCCACGCCCATGAGGCCCTGTTCAGCAAACAGCCCCAAGCACCCGCTCCCTCAGCCATAAAACGGGGCGAGGTTTCCCCAGGCTGTTGGGAGACAGGGGTGGACCATGGAAAAGGACCCGGCGCAAAGTCTGACGTGGAGCTCGGGGCTCTGTAAGCTGTGCTCTGGCTTCCATGAGTGTCGAAGGCACAAAAGCACTTTGCAAAGGTAAATCCCTGATTGTAAGGGAGGACCCCCTTGGGGGAAGACTCCCCCGTGTTTTTCTTCATGTCGCAGTCCCTCGGGGAGTCTGGAAGTCTGAGAGCTTCCTCAGGAAGCAGGCACCCCTCATCCCTCACAGTGTCTGCCCTGGGGTCGGTCGGGCTGGGGCACGTGGGGCCAGACTGGCTGGGCTGAACCCTGGGGAGCCGGCAGAGCAGACGCCAACCCTGCCCCCCGGGGCTCTCTGACTACCTCCTCCACCCTGCCTGCCCCAGCAGGTTCGTTTGTTTTGGGTAACACCAGGCAAAGCTCAGGGCTTCCTCCTGGCTATGCTCAGAGGGCTCTAGGAGGTGCTGGAGATTCAATCCAGGTCGGCTGTGTGCCAGGCAGACCTCCTACCCACTGTACTATCTCTCTAGCCTCAAGTGAAATCTGCACTTTTCTTTCCACTTTTTTGTTTGTTTTGTTTCTTGGGGGGGTTGGGGGGACACACCTCTGTTGGTGCTCTGGGATTGCTCTTGGCAGGGCTCAGGGGTACTGGGAATCCAACCCAGGCTGGCTGCATGCTATCATCACTCCAGTGCCTCTTGGGCAGATCGTCTGTCTACTCTGAGTGCCACTTGCTCCTCTACTGAAGAAGGGGTGGGGTGAGAAGCTGGCTGAGGTCAACACTCACGGGTCTTAAACGCCCTACACCTCTCATAAAAATGCTCCACCCCTCTCTACTCCCGGGGGCCCCGAGAAAACACGGCACCATGGAATTAGGGGCACATGAAAGACCCCAGAGCCACACCGGAGAACAGCAGAGGGGTAGGGGGTGGCAGCGGGGTGCAGGGGGCCGGCTCCTGTGCCGTGCCCGGGGCCCCACCTGAGCGGTTATGCAGCTCCCCGCCGTGTCTGCCGACGCCCCCCACGCCACTGGAGCCGCTGGAGGAGTGAGGTGATGGGTTGAAGTTTCCCGAGTTGGCGGGAGAGGCGGGGCTTCTGGAGAGAGACGGGAATTTAACCGGCCTGACGGGAGTCTGGAAGAGGAAGGGGAATATCAGGGTGAGGGTCCCTTGTTCCCTCCTCGGCGCAGAATCACAGTGTGTGTGTGTGTGTGTGTGTGTGTGTGTGTGTGTGTCTGTCTGTCTGTCTGTGTCTAAGTGTATGTGCAGCAGTGCAGAGAGCATCGTGGCCCACCGCAGCTGCTGCTACAGGGGTGCGCCAGCTCAGCTTGTGAGGAGCCCCTAAGAGGTCCGAGTCCCCAGGAGGTACTCCGGCTGTGTTTCTGTTCTCAGACAATCCTTACCCATTTGGAGCCTGGTCATTCCAGGCCTTGGTGTTCTACTATTGATTGGCCGGACAGACTCTCTAGTCACGATGCTCTGTCACAAGTACCCCGTCTTCCCTTAAACACACACACACACACATACACACATGCGCGCACACATACTCGCACACACACGCACATTCACATACAATCACACACGCATATACTCTCATGCATATACTCACACACACGCACATGCACATACTCTCACGCACACACACTCACTCAGACAAATGCAAACGCTCACACACTCTCACACACGCACATACTCTCATGCACACACACATGCACACTAACAAACACTCTCACACTCACAGACACATACACTCACACAAACTCACTTTCACACACATGCACTCACACATACACACATACTCTCATGCACACACACTCATTCACTCTCGCACACGCACACACATACACTCCCTCACACACTCTCACACTCTCACACATGTACAAACTCACACTCACACACACACACAAATTCACTCACATTCTCTCTCCACACACTCACACTCACTCACTGTAGGCACAGAGATGCCAGCAGCACCCGCTGCCTCACATGCCTATTGCTGGCACGCACCTGAGCCACCCTAGTGTGGACCAGGATGGGAGCTGAGTACCTGCTTTCTGTTCCCAGACCAGCCACCTCCCTCCCCAGCCCAGACCAAACCCAAACCTGGATACTTGGGGCTGGAGCCATAGTACAGTGGAGAGAGCGCTTGCCTTGCTTCAACTCACCTGGGTTTGGATCACTGGCACCCCATAGGGTTCCCTGAGCCCCACCAGGAGTGATGCCTGGACACAGGGCCAGGAGGAAGTCCAGAGCACCACCAGGTGTGGCACCAAAACCAAACCCAAACCCAAACCCAAACCCAAACCCAAACCTCTGTTCGGCCAATGGAGAACAACAGGAGGGGAAGTACAGCTGCCTTCCAGTTGCTCTAGAAAAATGGGTTCCAGAGGATGGAGAAAAGGGGCCCTGACCTGCATTCCCTGAACTCTAGTAGTTTATTTGATGGCGTGGGGGTGCCTCCTGGGGGACCCTTCCCACGACTCTGAGCCAACTATGCTTGAGGCTCAGTGCAGGGGCCTGAGAATGCGGTGGGCCACCCCAGGGGGGCCCCAGGGCTACATCCTACGGTGCTTGTGGGACCGTGTGGTGCTTCAGGATCAGTCATATGTAAAACATGCGCCCTAACCCCTGCACCACTTGTCTGGCCCCCGCCCACCTCACTAACAGAACTTGTCCCCCGAGTTTGCTGCTCTCCTTAGCTAAGGTCCCTTAGTCCAAAGGATGCTGCTCATGGAGAGAAAGGGAAAACGGCCAGGCCCGGAGCTACCGCCACCTGCTGCAGGGCTGACTTACAGTGTCCGTGCCCCGCCCCCCCATGGGGTGGCCCCTGCTGGCTCTCTGCGGAGGCACCGTCTTCGTGGGGTCCGCCTTCCTGCTGTGGCCGGTGCGGGTCCCATCGGAGCTCCACAGCTCGAAGCTGGAGGGGGGCAAGAAAGGGGGGATGACGGCCTTCAGCTTGTCGCTTGGGAGTCGGGTGAAGGGGGCTCCGTTCCGAAGCTGAAAAACACAGGGCCGGGGGTGAGAGCTGCTGGGAGGGAGGGAGGGACACTGGAAATGGTCCCAGCCTCCACCTACCCCCAAACCAGACACGTGTGTGTTGTCCCTGCCCCTCCTCCTGGCCCCCGAAAACGACCCCAGCTATGAGAGTAGAGTGGACTGGGGAGGGGGCGGGGGTGGAGAGATCCCACGGGGGTGAAGGGGCTTGCCAGCAGGCGGCTGGCCCTGGTTCAATCCCCCATACCACATGGCCCCCAAGCCCCACCAGGAGTGCTCTCTGATCACTGCTGGGATGGCCCCCAAACTGAAAACTAAAAATTAATTAAAAAGATAAAAGCAGGGACCAAACAGAGGTTACAGAAGGTACAGTGCTTCGCCTTGCACGCAGCCAACCCGGGTTCGAGTCCCAGCATCCCATATGGTCCCCTGAACACCGCCAGAAGTAATTCCTGAGTGCAGAGCCAGGAATAACCCCTGAGCATCACCAGGAGTAATTCACCTGAGTGCAGATCCAGGAACGACCCCCGAGCCTTGCCAGGTGTGGCCCCCAAAACAAACAGACAAAAAGATGAAAGCAGGACCGGGTGGATGGAGACCTGAGGCAAAAGGGATGCAGGGTGAGCGCAGACGCTGGGGAGGGTCCCATCTCAGCCAGGAGAGAGATCGCTGCAGGCGGGCAGAGCGCAGACAGGGAACAGGGCTGCGCTGACCCTGGTGAGAGAATGGGACAGGGGTGCAGGGGGGCGGGGGGCAGAGCCACAGGGGCTGGGGCCAGAGGCGGGAGCTGGGAGAGGAGAGGCAGCTCTGTGGGAGACACAGCCCATTGCCCCATCCCCCACGCCTCCCGCAGCTAAGGCTTTCCACTGCCCTTTTCTTTTTTTTCTTTTTTAAAATTTTTATTAGTGAAACACCATGAGGTACAGTTGTAGACTTACAAATTTTTGTGCTTGGGTTTCAGTTATACAATGATCAAATATCCATCCCTCCACCAGTGCTCATTCTCCACCACCACTAACCCCGAGCTCCACCCCCCATCCACTGCCCTTTAGTTCTGAAAACGGCTCAATTGAGGTGCGTCTCACACCCACACAGCAAAGGCCGGGGAAGTGCCTAGGAACGGCCTCCCCAGCGCAGCTGACTTTAATTAAGGCCAGCCCGTGAAGTGGGCAGCAGATGGTGCTTGGCAGGGAAGGACACCCCACAGCTAAACCTGCCTCGGGAGCCAGGCGGGCGCCGCTCGGCAGGGAGGCCTGCAGGGCCCACTGGGCAAGACGCGGGCCAGCCTCCATCTGCACTGGGCAAGAGCGGGCGCCAAAGCGGGGGGGGGGGGGGGCGCGGGGGAGCGAGGGAAGGATGTGTGTGTGGGGTCCCGGGTGTCCCACTCGAACTCTCAAGAACTGCACTGAAGATCTGCAAGCAAGTGCTGTCCCCTGCAGATCCCAGCAACGCCTACAGAATATGTGTATGGGTGTGTGTGTGTGTGTGTGTGTGTAAGGGGTGCATGGACAGGGAGAGAACTGACGCTCCTGGACGGGCATTTCCCCTCCGTGTGGGGAGTGGAGAGACTAAAGCAGAGGCCTGCAGCCTCTTCACACCTCTCTGTGGCCCGGTGGGTGTAGAACACTGGTCTGGACTTTCTGGATAGCAGGGACATTCACCAGTTTGGACCCAGGTTTTTTTTTGGGGGGGGTGTTACACCCAGCAGTGCTCAGGGCGTACTCCTAGCTCTGCTCAGGGATCATTCCTGGCGGAGCTCGGGAGACCACCTGGGGTGCTAGGGATTGAACCCAGGTTGGGCAAGTGCCTTATCCACTGCACGATCACTCCAGCCCCAACCAAGGCATCTCCAGATATTTATCTTGAGGGAATCAGACAAGAGGAGGGAAACTGAGGCATGAAGGAGATTTCTTTTCTTTTTATTTTCTCTCTCAGCTATTCACGCGGTGGAAAGCAGAGCAGGTCAGATGTAGATGAGGACCCAAGGGAACAGGTTCCTGTGGGCCTGCGAGCCACTGGCCAAGGATGGACAGAAGCGGGCTCGCTGGTGGGCGGGCAGGGGCGGACTGGGTGGTTGAATCTAAGCTGTGACAGTGATGGCCATGACCACTGCTGCTAAAAGACAGTTGGGTGACAATCATGTTTGGTCTATAGTCTACTTTCAGCATGCTTCTCCCATCCTGGGAGGATCCTCCCAACACCCTTTATTTGGTGCTCCCTTCTCTATCTGAGCTCCCTTTTCCCCTAGCATGTGTGGCTGGCCTCCAAGCCATGGAGTAAAATTCCTGGTACTAATCTCAGTCATTCTTGGGTGTTAGTCTCCTAGTTTGTTTCTTTATTGCTTCTTTTGCAAACCACAACACCCAATAAGAGAGAGAGAACAAAAGGGAATGCCCTGCCACAGAGCAGGGCGGGATGGGGGAGATGGGGGGTGGGAGGGATACTGGGATTCGTGGTGGTGGGAAATGGGCACTGGTGGAGGGATGGGTACTTGATCATTGTACAATTGAAACCCAAGCACAAAAATGTGTAAGTCTGCAACTGTACCTCATGATGTCTCACTAATTAAAAAAAAAAAAAAAGACAGTTGGGGAAAAATCACTCAGAAAGTAGGTGGCCCCAGACCTCAGCCCTGGCCATCCGTGGGTGGGTGATCCCGCGCGGCCCTATCTTCCTTTGCTCGGTCATAGCCTCAAGCGACATTTAGGAGCGAGTGGCGTTTCTGTGCCCGTAACGGAGAGTGGCCACAGCTACCGAAATGAGGCTACCAGATGCTGGGCAGTAAGAGCTCCCTGGGCCGGTGAGCGAAGACCCTGAGCGACACCTCTGGCGTGGCCGCCTTGGCAATAGGGAGGATCTGGGTCAGGATGCAGGCAGGCGCCCTGAGGAGTCTCTTGCTAGGTGGGTAGAAAGCGGGTGCCTGCGCCAGCCCTGGCTCGCTGCGCCTGTAAAATGCCGCCCTCTCCTGGCCAGCCTGAGGTACAGCGCTCAGCCCCGGGACCAGAGGCAGACGCCAACCTGGAAGTCACTTTTGGGGCGAAAGGGGGAAGGAAGAACATCCTGCAATGCTCAGGGGCTACTCTCCTGGTTCTGCACTCAGGAATCACTTCTGGCAGTGCTTGGGGAACCAAATGGGATGCTGGGGATCAAACCCGGTTGGCAGCATGCAAGGCAGATGCCCTCCCTGCTGTCCTATCGCTCCGGCCTTTGCAAGAGCCTGATGGGCAGAGAGGGGAGATGGCCGGTTCACAGCCACAGGGCAGGTCAGCAAGAGCTCCTGTGGGCCAGGCTCTCGGCTCGGAACATCCCCAAGGACCACTTCATGTAAGCAGAAGGCTGCTTGGCTGTAAGAAAATGTAAAAGCCTGCCATTCGCAGCTCTGGGGACAGCTGTGGAGGACCACAGTACCCTCTCCTGCGTGCAGGCAGGAGAGGGACAGACATAGGATGATGCCTCCCAGGCAGGATGTCAGGAATCACTGCCGGGCAGTAACAAACACAGGGGCAACAGAAACTGAGCTGGTGTTCAGCAGGACGAGTACCACGGGGGAGGGGAGGGGAGGGGAGGGGAGGAACAGGTCATGGGGGAACACTGCGACGATGGCAGAGGGACATTGGGACCACCCTGGGGGCAGGGGTGGTGGTGGACTGTGCCACATATGAAACCCTGTCTCTGACCGTATGATAACCTTTAAACATAAAGCATAAACATATTTATTTTAGACAGCACAGGGGGTAGGGCGTTTGCCTTGCACGTGGCCGACCCGGGTTTGATTCCTCCGTCCCTCTCAGAGAGCCTGGCAAGCTCCTGCGAGTATCCCACCTGCACAGCAGAGCCTGGCAAGCTCCCTGTGGCACATTCGATATGCCAAAAACAGAAACAATAAGTCTCACAATGGAGACGTTACTGGTGCCTGCTGGAGCAAATCGATGAACGAGAGGACAGTGCTACAGTGCTATTAAAAACATTTCAAATAAATATGTATTTGTTTTTAAAGCAGGTGTGAACCTTAACAAAAACCAAAATCAATCTGCTGCCACGAGAATTAGCCTGCAGTCGGAGCCTGCTAACTGTCCCTCCCCACACACCCCGACACCCCTGATTACTGAGGACGCCCTACTTAACTAGGATAGACTCTGCATTCTTCAGCCCCCTGGGCCGTGGGGTATGGTCATGGGCCTGAATTCTAGCAGATGTAATGAAAGCGGAAGCAATGCTGGGGCACCAAGTGATGACTACAGCAGCTAGGATGCCTGCTTGGTATGCAGCTGGCCCGGATTCAATCCCACATATGGTGTCCCGAGCGCTACCAGGGGTGATCCCTGAGCACAGAGCAGAGCCAGGAGTAGGCCCTCAGCACCACTGGATGTGATCCAAATTTTTTATTTTTTTCAAAAAAGCAATATGCATGCACTCATTTGTGGAATATAAAGTAACAGGTTGGGAGCCTAACACCCAAGGATAGTAGAGATAAGGACCAGGAGGTTTGCGCTACAGCTTAGAAACTGGCCTCAAACGCCGGGGGAAAAGGCAGCTCAGAGAGAGAAGGAACCACTAAGTAAAGGTCTAGGAGGACCTGCCCAGGACGGGAGATGCATGCTGAAAGTAGACTATAGACGACTGAACGTGATGGCCACTTAATACCTCTACTGCAAACCACAACACCCACAGAGGCAGAGTAGGGTGAAGGGGACAGGGTGGGGGTGGTGGGAGGGATGCTGGAACCATTGGTGGTGAAAATTGGGCACTGGTGGAAGGATGGGTACTCGATCACTATATGACTGAAATGCAAGCACGAAAGTTTGTAAGCCTGCAACTGTACCTCTTGGTGATTCACTAATTAAAAAAAAAAAAGCGCAATATGCAGCAGTTTCCAGCAAAATGTCTTAAAGATATGGGGCATGTGCCCAAGTTGCTTCCACCACCCTCATCTTTCTGGGGGACTAAAATGAAGGCGGGCAGGGGCAGAGCTGCGGCAATGAACCGCCTTGGCCCGAACCACCCTTGCGAGAGGGAAGCTGGCTTCCCAGAGCCATGGAGCCAAGTGCCCGTCCTCAACTGCATGGATCTGAGACAGAGACGTGCACATCTGCATGCTCAGGCCCCGGCGGCAGGGGGTTCCTGTCACTCAGAGCCGGGTGGATTCTGATGCATGGGGAGGCTGTAGAGGAGAAAGCCTGGGGACGGCCTTCTCGAGGACTCCTGTCCCCCGGGGTCCCTGGAGCCCAGTCAGACGCTTCTCCATCCTGGTGCCTGGCATATGGCCCAGGCTCGACGTCTGCTGACCCCATCCCCCGGTGCGGGGCTGACCTGTCCCCATCCCTTGAGACCAGTGCTGGTCCCTGGTCACATGGTGTAAGCGCAGCCCCATCTGAGACCCCCACCCAGGTGAAAGCCCCCCCCCCAACACATCAGTCAGGATCTTTGGCTGGGAGCCCGAGAAGCCCCCACTCACCATGGTGGTCAGTAACACATCCTCCTTCTCTCCCCTCGTGTTCCCGGGACCTGAGAGAGCGAGAGAAGATTCCTGGGATGGCCACGGCACACTCACGGCCAAGGACGTGTGATCCCCCTCAGCCTTCCACCGGGACAACCACCCTCCTGGATGCCGGGACGGGAAACAGTCACAGGTGTCTGCGCTTGGGACGGCAGGGAAGCCTTTCAGAGGGATCTTCGCGTGTGACCAGCTTCGGCCACCGCTGGGCAGATGCAGAGCTGCCATCAATTAGTTTGTCCCTGATATGGTGCTAAAGGAGCCAGGCAAGGCATGGGGCGGTGGCCCTCGGGCGGAGGAAGCCGTCCCCATGGGGGTCTGCCCCTTTGCCAGGCGAGGTGTCCATCTCCGGAACCTCGGGGCTTTGCCATCCACGTCCGCCACTGACTCCAAGCACTTTCGGAACCTGAACCCGTCCCAGTCTGATCGCTGGGAAGCCCCCACTGGAGTGGACATGCCGTGGCCAGTTTCGCGGCCCCGCTGCTTCCAGCTTCCCCAGTGATCGCCCCGAAGCAGCCCCAGACCAGCCTAAGTCTCTTCTCGGCCAGGTCACTCGGCACTCACCACCTGCCCACCATCTCCCCACTAGCTTTCGGGCGGGTGGGGGGAGCAGCTCAGGATCAGGGTAAGGGGCAGAGGACACAGGTGTTTGCCCGTGGTGGACTCGCTCCCACAGAGGCACCCTCCTCTTACCCTTGTCTTTGGCCCGGGGGCCCACGTCGGGGAGCACTGGACGGCTCGTCTTGTCCTGCGGGTGCGCCCGCATGGTGGAGTCCAGCGCAGGCTCCGGCTCGTCACAGAAGGGCAGCGGCTGGTTACTGGACAGCCCGCGGGGCAGTGTCTGCATCAGCTTGAGCTTCCGGAAGCGGTTGGACATCCGGCTCCACCAGGACTGCGTGGGGAGGACAGGGCGGCGGTCTGGGCAGGAGCCCAGAGAGAGCGTCTGTTCCCTGACACTTGCCCACACTCTCTGGAATCTGTGGCCAGCATTTCCTCACCACCACCACAGTGCCCCTGTCCAATCAGAGCCCCCCTCACCCACTGCCCCCCATCAGCCTCCTCATACACAGACCAAGAAATGGGGGCTCATCCTGCCTCAACTCCCTACAACAAGTCAGAGACAGGCACTAATCAGGCACGGACAGACAGAATAAGTCAGGGACAGAAGATGGACACCATGAGTCAGGGACAGACACCAGTCAGGGACAGATGGACACGACGAGACAGGCACAATGAGTTAGGGATAGACACTGGTCAGGGACAGACAGATGGACACGATGAGTCAAGGACAGAAAGACACAAGTCAGGGACAGACAGACACAATGAGTCAGGAATAGGTGGACACAGTGAGTCAGGGAGACACTAGTCAGGGACAGAGAGACACCCATCAAGGACAGACATATGGACACAAGGGGTCAGGGAGAAACATCTAATCAGGGACACAGACAAGACAGACACAATGAGGCAGAAACGATGAGCACAAGTCAGGGACAGACAGCTGGACACCAAACACCTTAACACCCATCACTTTATAACTTCCCCCCGGGGGACAGTGGGAGAGGGGTCAGGGTGCCCCCACCTAGCGAGAACACCAGGGGCCCTGCCATCCCGGGAGGCCTGTCCCCGTGACCGCTCAGAGGGCAGCTGTGGGGTCCCGGCTGAGGGAGGTGGCAGTGAGGATGATGGAGGGAGCCCAGCATGGCGCATGGAGAAGGGTCCGGGGCCCCCGGCGAGGACCCCACAGGGGCACGGCTGTAGCCCTGGAGGGGGCCAGACTCTGGGACAGAAGTGGGTAAAGAGTCAGTGCGATCCCCAGCAAGAAGAGCGGGGACGGGAAAGTGAGAAATTCAGGAGAAATGCGGGTTCGCAGGGAGAGACGAGTGGCTGCAGCCTGGCTTGGGCCTTCCCAGGAACCTGGGAGACTCTGGGAGGTGCAGACAGTAGGTGGCACGGGAGGAGGAAGGCCCAACATCCCCAAATCGGGGGTGCTCGTTTCTCCAGGAAGGAAGCGAGGGGTGCCCCACAGCGGATACACATCCTGCCCCACCCTCCTCACTCAGTCCCTCTCTTGCTCACCCCCCATCCAGCCGGCCACCCCTGCTTATGACAGCAGATGTCCAGCCCACCCGCCAGCCCGAGGACCGCGGGGTTTGGGGGAGGCAAACCTTCAGGCCGCCCCTGTCGTCCGGTAGAGTGGGGGCGCTCCAGGGCTGCTGGGCCTTGGTGTGGGGCGGGGGCAGCGGGCGGCTGGGCCGGCCTTTGTCCTTATTCACCTGCATGCACACAGATGCCAGCAGTCGGACAAGCTCCGTATCTGGGGACATACATGGGAGGGAGCCACTCACAGGTGTGTCTGCCGGCCCACGGTGGGGAGGGTGGGGCTGGGGGACCCAGAGCACCTCCCACTGGCCCGAGAACTCAGCCAGTTCTGTGTCACTCGGGGTCAAGGTAACTGTCTCTCATCTCCCAAAGGGTGCCCCCAAGGCTACTGCACCCCAGGGGCCAGCCCAAAGCCCCTCATCACGTGACGGTAGGTGGGAGTCAGGGGAAGCCGTAGTCCCCGCAGCCAGGGCTCGGACGCACAGAAGCTCATTCTGCGGCAGTTCCTCGGGTGGGGTAACTGCCGGCCACCCCAGCCCCTCCCTGCTCCTCCATCGATGGGGGGCCTGCCTCGGGCTCACTGTGGAAAACGCTCTGGAGAGAAGCCCCGGGCTAGAAAAGCAAGTGAGTTGTAACAGGTATTATCACGGAGGTTCCTGAGAAAGTTCACTGCCAGGATTAAGGGGAAAACGCTACAAAATAGAGCCTTTCTCTCCATGACTGTTTCTTTTTGCTCCCTGAGAGCATTCCATAGCTAGCATGGTTCTTCGGAAATGTTACTGAAAGTTGTTCTCACTGACTTTTTCTGGTTTGGGTTTTTTTTCGATTTTTTTTTTAATTTAAAAAATGTCATGAAAAAACCCCAGCAAGAAAAAAAAAGTGAAACCACCCTGGGCAGATGGAGTCCTTGGGGAAGCGAGGGGAGTGGAAGGGGTACATGGCGGAGGGTGGCATGGGGAGGGCTGGGCGATGCTGGCACTGAGGCAGGGACCCCAGCCTGCCAAACTGGGTCAAGGAGGGGCTGTGGGCTGACTCCCCGGGACTCTGGAGGTGGCGGTCTTGCCTCTGGCTATGGGGGGGAGGGGTTCTCCTGGCTCCGGGCTCTAAGTCGGGGGTGGATGGTCAGAGCAGTTCCAGGTGTCCCACCGGTAAGCGATGATATGAGAAAAAGGGCTGGCCCAGGAGGGGCTAGTGGGGGCAGCAGGTGCCAGCTGGTGACGGGGAGCAGTGCCATGTTGGCCCCAATACAACAGGCTGCAGGGGGAACTGCCTTGGTTCTGCTGCCCAGGGCCTTCTCTGTGCCCGAGGGACTCTGCTTCTGAGCAACACGCAGTGGGGACACAGGGCCTGCCGGCTGAGCTCCAGTATAGTGGGCTGCCCACCCACCCCAGCCCAGCTCTGTGGGGACGGGGGAGGGGGAGCAAGTGGTCGAAGGCCACATGGTCAGCCCCGGGAGCGGCCGCCCAGGAGGATAGGAGGAACGCAGGGCAAGAGAGAGAGAGAGAGGGAGAAAGAGAGAGAGAAGAAGGGAGGGATGGAGAAGGAGAGAAAAGAAGAGAAAGAGGGAGAGAGGGAAGGAGGAAGGGAGAGAGGGAGGAAAGGGGGAGGGAGAGGAGGGAGGGAGAGAGAGGGATAGAGAAGGAGAGAAAGAAGGAGAGAAGGAGGGAGAGGGGGAGAGAGGGAAGGAGAGGGAGGGAGGGGAGAGAGAGAGAGAGAGAGAGAGGCGCTGAGGGTCAGCAGCCCACCAGGGTCACTCAGCAGCATCACCAGGTCAAAGGCCGTATACCCGTTCTTCGCACGCAGAGCCACGTCGGCCCCTTGGTTCAGCAGGTACTTGACGATTTCCTTATTCCTGGGAAGGAGGAGAGGTGTCAGGGGCACTGGAAACCAGAGCCAGTGGGGCTCTGCCCTGGGACGGCGAGGCGGAGGGCTCTAACTGCGGGACTGGAAAACTCCCAGTTGCCTCAGAGTGCCCTCCATGCCCCTGCGCCTGGGAGGCCGGACCCCAGAGCACAGGCCCCATGGTCGCCCCCTACCTCTGCCCCAAAGCAACCTGGCAGCTCTTGAGGGCCTGACCCAGGCGGAAGCACGCGGTCACCCACGGCAGGGTCCAGGAAAAAGAGTTCCTAATCTGCAACCCATCCCCATCCCTGCCACGTGCCACCCACAGATGAGAGGGCCTGGAGATGCCCAGCCAGGCTACCACCCACCCAGAAGGTCCCAGTTGGGTGGGTGCCAGTGGACAGAGGTGCCAGCAGGCCTGGGTGCGATTCCTTTGACAACAGGGCAGAGTGGGGCAGACGAGCAAGCCAAGGGCTGGAGTAGGTGCCTCCCAGGCTCCGGGCACCACAGAGCCCCTGACTTCCCACCACACTCAGTGTGGCCCTCATGGCCACCAGAAGCACCAAGGAGCCAGGCTCCAGCACTGACCGTCCCAGAGGGTCAGGTAAGAGGCCACCAGAAGTGGCTTCCGCTGCCCCTAACTCCCCTCCCTATCCCCTGTGAATAAGTAAGTGACCAGGGGCAACTCGAGGACCCCTGCACCTTCCAAGTGCATGGCACCACGCAGAATCCCAGCCCGCAGGACCGTCTCTCTGCAGGACGCCCACGTGGCCCAGTGCTTCGTGGCAGCGCACACACAGGTGAGGGTCTAGGATGAGGCAGCAGCCAGAAGCCTGCGCAATGCCCAAGGTATGGCGACGGGCTATGCAGGATGTGCAGCCCGCAGAACGCCCTACTCCTGGCCCCAGCACGAGAGACCCACCCCTGGGAGGGGGAAGGGGGGGATGCTGTGCTGACCCGTGGTAGGTGGCCTGCATGAGGGCCGTCCAGCCGTGCACACTGTCCTGCTTGTCCACATCGGCGCGTCGCTCCACCAGGAGCTGCACCAGTGGCAGCTGCCCTGTGACGGCTGCCAGCATCAGTGGGGTGGCCCCATCCCCGTTGACCAGGTTCACGTGGTTGGGGTCTTCATCGGCGATCTCTTTGACCAGCTGGAAGTTCCCTGCAAGCACAGGGAGCCTTGCTGGTGAACCGGGTGGCCCCGGGGCTCATTCACACAGCCAACTACCCTGAGCCTGACTCTGCTCCAGGCAGTGGTTACAGAAGGATGGGCAGCAGAGGCCAGCACGTGCCCCCCCACCCCAACTCTGGGTTTCCCATCTTTCAGTCTGTGAGCGGCTGCAACTGCAGACAGGAACTGCACTCTGGGAGAAGCGCTGCGGGCAGGGGAGGGGGAAGTCGAGTCTCGGCTCAGGTTCAAGATCCAGGAGGGCTTCCAAGGAGGTGGATGGGGTCTAAGTCAGGAGAGGAAATTTAAGGCCAAGAAGAGCTGACACACAGACTTGGGGGTGTGGATGTAGGAAGTAGAGGGGAGGGCTGGGAGAACAGTCTAGGAATCTGGGGTACAGAACCATGAAAACACCCAGTCTTGGGCCAGAGAGAGAGGACAACGGGTCGGGCCCCTCGCCTTGCATGCAGTTGACCTGGGTTCGATCCGGTCTCCCCCCCTCCCCCCCCCCCCAGCCCAGCCACAGGAATGAGAGCAGAGCACAGGGGAGTAAACCCTGAACAATGCAGGGTGTAGCCACACACACACACACACACACACACACACACACAAGGTTTGTTTTTAATAAAAATAAAGCTAACTCCAGTCTCCAGCTGGAAGCTCCCTTTTGCAGAGAAGTGGGATCTGGGGAAACCAGAGGACCTCGTTCAGAAGATGCTGGCTGACCTTGGGAAGGACCACGGTGTGGGGCTTGGGAGAAAGTGGCCCCACATGCAGGCGTTGAGGAGGCATTCTCAGGGGTTCACACTCACCCATTTTCAATGCATGGAAAATATCAGGTCGCCGCTTCTCCTCATCTGGGGAGATGAAAGGTTTTTCAAAGTTAACCAGGGCAAGACTTCAAGGGACAGAAAAGGAACAGGAGAAGGCATCGTCCCTCCACCTGCCTCCTAAAATAACCCCAGCAGTCACCTATTTCCAGAACCCAATGAGAAGTGCAGGTACGCGGGTTCAGTGATGGAAAACTTCAGGCTTCAAGGACAGGGGATGGGCTGGTCCTTCTCATCCCCTATCCCCATGGGACCCTGGAGGTCACGCCCACAAACTGCCTCCAGCTGCTACTTAAACTACTTAGTAGTCATGATCCCGAGACTAACGAAAGAATGTCTGAACCAAGCAGCTCGATGCAGAGATTTCTCCAGACCCGAATTACCTAAAATTTTAGAATTCCTGGAGCACATGGCCATCCTCACGGCTGCATGACATCTTACGCTATTCATAACAAGCAACACAAAAGAGAGTATGGGGAGATTGTCTCCCATAGAAGCAAGGGGAGGGGTGGGATGGGGGGGATACTGGGGACCTTGGTGGGGGGTGGGATGGGGGGATACTGGGGACTTTGGTGGTGGACGATGTGCACTGGTGGAGGGTTGGGTGATCGGATCATCGTATGACTGAAACATAAGCACGAAAGCTTATAAGCCTGTAACCGTACTTCACAGTGATTCATTAATAAAAAATAATTTAAAAAAATAAAAATGTGCTGTGGAAGGGGCCTACTCAGACCCTAGGACAAATGAAGACTCTCACTGGACCCCAGCCCTGAGCGTCCACCAGGCAGGTGCCCAGTGCTCCCGTGCTGGCCCCTCTCTCCCACCTCCAGATCTGTTTTAGTGCCTGTCCCGGGACTGCCCGGGCAGAGGAGCACACGTGGGACAGGGAAGGGCAGCAAGACAGCTGTCACGAGGACCCTGTGGGCACTGGAGCTGCAGCGATGCTCCAGGGGGAGCGAAAAAGAGGGGGTGCTGCTGCCGGCACCTCGCACAAGGAGCTGGGCCGCAGTTGCCAGAGGGTGTCTGCCTGCCCGGTGAACCCCAAGAACATGGGGGCTGTCCTGCACCCTCCACCTCCTGCTGTCACACCTGAGCCCCCGCACGAAGCCTTTCCTTCCTCCAGGCTCCTACCACCTGTCATGCTGGGTAACTTCCTGGATGTCAGAAGCTTTTTCCTACTTTTCACTTCCTGCCTGGCGGGCAAAGGTGAGATCTCACCCTGATGGGCTCACTGAGGGCTCACACAGTGCTCAGTCTCAGCGCAGAGTAGCTGACGGAATACACACTCGGGACAGAAACTGTGAGAGCGAGACCTTCCGCAGGTGTCCCTTGGTGATGGGAGGATACCTGCTCTCCAGGCCCCTTCCCAGGACGTGGGACCACCCTTCAGGGAAGCCGTTTGGGGTGGGGGGGAGGGGTAAGCTGCAGAGGGAACAGGAGGAAGGAGAAGAGGGAGAAGTGGACCCCAAGGGGCCAGGCGGGTACTCATGGGCTGCCCGGAGCTGGTGGAAGTGAATGGTCAGAAATGTCCCCCAGGGTCTAGAAAAAACCTCTGGTCCTTCACAGAGACGTCTGCCAGGCCCGGAACTATGTGCACCAGGGTCACATGGCCAGCAAGGAGGGGGCCCAGCCCTGGAGGCACCCGGGCTTCTCCCAGCACCCCAAGTGGTCAGCAAAGAGGGGGGCCAGCCCTGCAGGCACCCAGGCTTCTCCCAGCACCCCGAGTCCCGCAGCCCCACCTGACCCAGACGTCCACACAGCCTGAGGAGCAGCGCTGCCCGTCTTACCTGTCTTGGGCCTGACGGTGGTGAGGGGGTCCAGGTAGTCGGCCAGGTCCCGGTGCTTCTGGTCAAGCGCCACCTCGAAGGCCGTCTTCTCCAGCATGCTGAGGTGGTCAGGGTTGGCCCCCTTCTCCACCAGCTGCTGGGCCAGGCCCAGCCTCCCGGTGAGCGCGGCCAGCATAAGCGGGCTCCAGCCCAGGGGGCGGGCTGCTCCGTTGGGGTCGGCGCCCCACTCGGTCAGCAGGCGCACAGCGGCCTCGTGGCCGTGCTGGGTGGCGGCCATCAGGGCCGTGATGCCCAGCGGTTCGTCCCTACCGTCCCCGGCCCCTGGCGGCTCGCCGGAGGGGCGGCGTGGGTCCACGGCCGCCCCCGCTTCCAGGAGCAACTTCACCACACCCAGGTGGCCGCCGCGCGCCGCCACGGTGAGCACGCTGGCCCCCAGCCTGTTCTGGGCGTTGACGTCAGCCCCATGGTCCAGAAGCAGATGAGCCACGTTTGCGTGGCCGAACCTACAGGGGAAAGTGGGGGAAGTGCGAGGCTGGGTGGGTGGGACGAGGGGAGGGAGTCATGGTCTGCGAGCTGTGGTCCTCACCACACCCCTGTTAGAGACGGCAGCACTGAGAGTTTTCTGCTCCCCTGCCCTGCCTCCCAGCCCCCCTCCAGCCCTGTGTCTTTAGCTTCTCCTTGCTTCCTGCATTTCCTCACCAGTCAAGGAGGGATTTAGCTGAGGCTACCGAGCACTGCTGGAGCTGGAGCGATAGCACAGCGGTAGGGCGTTTGCCTTGCATGCAGCCAACATGGCCAACCCGAGTTCGATTCCTCCGCCCCTCTCGGAGAGCCCGGCAAGCTACCGAGAGTATCTCGCCCGCATGGCAGAGCCTGGCAAGTTACCCCTGACGTACTCGATATGCCAAACACAGTAACAACAAGTCTCATGATGGAGACGTTACTGGGCCCGCTCCAGCAAATCGACGAACAACGGGAGGACCGTGACCGTGACCGAGCACTGCTAAGGATCAAAGTGAGTCATCGTAGGTACCGGCAGGCGGCTCAAAGGGCCGAGTGCATGCTCAGTGTGTAGAACCCACCGGCTTGATTTTCCAGAACCTCACAGATGCCCCCACCCACCCTGAGCTCCATGGAATGACTCCCCCTGCTGTACTGAACCAGTTGTGGGCCAGAGGGTTTCCCCCACCCCACCCCCTGGTCACCACCACCACCACCAACACTGCCAAAAAAAAAAAAAACCTCTGAGCTAATGTACATAACATATAATATTCATAGCAGCTCAGACGCAGACTTGGCCAAGCAAACACCGCAGGAATGTCAGTTGTTAGGTCTGCGATTATTTCCATCACACAGCAGCTGCTCAAAGGCCCCGGGGTGGGAAGGCCAGGCCTTGGAGCCCCACTTCTCTACCACACTCCTTCCACCACCCTCCCCTGTCCCAGAGCCCCTTCTTTCCTGCTCTCTAGCCCGCTCATCTCTCTTCCTGCCTGGGCTCCTGATTTCCACACGGGCAGGACCTCTTATCACTGTTTGTTTCATGTTTAGTGTGCAGCCGTATCACAACTTAAACTGGCTTCAACTTGGTGATGTAAACTTTTCAACGTTGCAGATCAGGGTTGGAACTGGTCGAGAGACTTTGAAGCTAAAAGCATCTTTTAACCTTAAGGATGAAATAGCACTGACCATGCAAGTGGAAGCGAACATAAACAAATGGGACTACATCAAACTAAGAAGATTCTGCACTTCAAAAGAAACAGTGACCAAAATACAGAAAGAGCCCACAGAATGGGAAAGAATATTTACCCAATATCCATCTGATGGGCTGGAGTGACAGCACAGCGGTAGGGCATTTGCCTTACACGCAGCCAATATGGCCGACTCGAGTTCAATTCCTCCGCCCCTCTCGGAGAGTCCGGCAAGCTACCGGGAGTATCTCACCCGCACGGCAAAGCCTGGCAAGCTACCTGTGAGGTATTCAATATGCCAAACACAGTAACAAGTCTCACAACGGAGATGTTACTGGGCCCACTCGAGCAAATCGATGAACAACGGGAGGACAGTGCTACAGTGATCCCCATCTGATAAGGGATTAATATCCAGGATATACAAGACACTAGTAGAATTGTACAAGAAAAAAAATCTCCAACCCCATCAAAAAATGGGGAGAAGAAATGAACAGAAGTTTCCTCAAAAAATAAATACAAATGGCCAAAAGGCACATGAAAAAATGCTCCACGTCGCTAGCCATCAGGGAGATGCAAATCAAAACAACAATGAGATATCATCTCACACCAGAGAGACTGGCACACATTCAGAAGAACAAAAGCAACCAGTGCTGGCGTGGATGTGGGGGAAAAGGGACGCTCTTTCACTGTTGGGGGAAATGCCCACTAGTCCAGTCTTTCTGGAAAACAATATGGACAGTCCTTCAAAAATGATTATTGGGGGGAAATTCTAAACAATAATGGTGCATCTTTTGTCGAAATAATGAGTGTAATCAATGTAGAGAAGAGTTAAGTAGAAATCATCTGCCTCACAGGCACTTAGAAGGGTGGGTTGGGGGGTATACTGGGGTTCTTGGTGATGAAATATGAATGAAATATGAGTACTGGTGAAGGGAAAGGTGTTTGATCATTGTATGACCAAGACTTACACCTGAAAACTTAGTAACTTTTCCCACAGTGATTCAATAAAGAAAAATAAATAAATATATACCATAAAAAATATATACCATCCCGAGGATGCAAAAAAGCACAGTAGAAATGACATCTGTACCTATATGTTCATTACAGCAATGTTCACATAGTCAAAATCTGGAAACAACCCAGTGCCCTAGAACAGATGACTGGTAAAAGAAACTTTGGTACATCTACACAATGGAATACTATGCAGCTGTCAGGAGAAATGAAGTCATGAACTTTGCTAATAAATGGATAGACATGGAGAGTATCATGCTAAGTGACATGAGTCAGAAAGAGAGGGACAGACATAGAAGGACTGCACTCATTTGTGGAGTATAAAACAACATAACATGAGGCTGACACCTAAGGATAGTAGATACATGGGACAGATAGATTGCTCCATAGCTGGAAGCCTGCCTCGTGAGCAATGGGGACAAGGCAGCTGGAATAGAGAAGGGATCACTAAGAAAATGATGGCTGGACGAACCGGTCGGGATGGGAGATGTGTGCAGAAAGAGATAAAGGACCAAACATGATGACCTCTCAGTGTCTGTATTGCAAACCATAGTGCCCAAAAGTAGAGAGAGATTATGGGGAATCATGTCTGCCATGGAGGCGGGGGAGGGTGGGAAAGTGAGCGGGGTATACCAGGGATATTGGTGGTGGGGAATGTGCACTGGTGGAGGGATGGGAGTTTGATCACTGTGTGATTGTAACCCAAAAGCTTGTAACTATCACTGGTCGAGAGGATGGACTAGAAATCCAGTAGCAAGATTTTTAAATAGCCCATCCTTGGTTTGATGTTAAAACTGTAAACGCCAGTAGTGATCAAGAACACAGTGACTATACTATACTGAAGGGATGTCATGTTTAATTAATTCATCTTTATGAAGATTTAGCATTAATTCCTTATGTTTAAAGGGAATGTTTAAAGCAGCTGGAGTGATAGCACAGCGGGTAGGGCATTTGCCTTGCACGCGGCTGACCCAAGTTGGATCCCCAGCATCGCATATGATACCCTGAGCACCGCCAGGAGTAACTCCTGAGTGCAGAGTCAGGAGTAACCCCTGAGCATCACCAGGTGTGACTCAAAAAGCTAAAAACATAAATAAGAAGAAAGGGAATGTTTAATTGAGAAACATTTGTATACAAAAATGCTTTAAAAAAAGAAAGAAAAAAAAACCTGTCCTCGCCTCCCTGTCCCCAAGGTCCTTCTGGAAGACAGGCAGGCTCCACCAGGAGGCAGCCGCTGTGGTACTCATTCCGGGCAACTGCCGCCACCTGCTGGCAGGAATGTCCCCTCTGCTGCTGGTGGCTGAGGCCTGTTGGGACAGACCTGCCGGGAGAAGCCTGGGTCAGCCAAGATTGGGGGAGGAAACACCCCTCCCACTCTCGCTACCACCCCCACGGCCCCCACAGCTCCCTGATAACAGAAACGGACACGGACACATCTTCCCAGCAAATGCTCCGCCTGCTTCTGCCACCAGCGGGCAGCAGGATTCTGCTCTGGCACCAAAACTGGGAATGGTGAGTCCCAGCAGTCTGGGCCTATAGGAAGTCAGAGGGCCCCTGAAGGGCGGGTGGGGGCAGGGTCTGCCCCATTGGGGCACCTGCAGCTTTCTGAGACTCTGGAAGGTTCTGTCCCTCCTCTAAGCCAGGCTCTCCTCCCCGCAGGCCTCTGTTGGAGCCAGACCCATGACTGAACTCACAAATAGCTCCTGGGACGTGACCCTTCACTGTGCCTGCCAGAGTGAGCTGGTGGCTCCGGGAGAGGCTGGGAGCCAGCACCCCACCCTTGGGGCCTGGTCTCCTGGCACCTGGGCTGCAAAGCTGAAGTCCACTCACAGGCAGGAGGAGGCGACCCATCTCTCTGCCGCAGCTCTGATGCCTTTCTGCCCACCTTCCTCCATCTGAAGGCCAGGCCAGCTCCCGCGAGGCCCAAGGCCTCATTCTCCCTGCACGGCACCTTCCCACGGTACCTCCAAGCTCACCTGTACTTCCCATCCTGCTGCACCCCTGCCCTTTCCTCCCTCGGCTCTGCCACAGGACCCCCACCCCTGCCCTCATCACTCATCCATCCTTCCACCACGCAGCCCGGACCCAGCCTCGGGGCAGACTCCAGACCCCTCCCTTGGCCCCTGAGCCTCCCCCTGTCACTGTCTCCCCTCTCGGGACATGACGGGTCTGGCTGACCCAGAGCAGCGCTGGCTACCAGCTGCCTAAGGGGCCAGCGGGTCGGGGCCCTGGCCCAGCTGCGGGTAGTGGACAGCAGTGAGTGGAAGAGCAGGTCACAGCCCCGCAGCTGCTCGCGTGACCTGACCCACAGATATGCCCATGAAGGGGAAGCAGAGGGAGCTGAGAGCCGGGAGGTCTCCACGGGAAGGCAGCAGGGGGGAAACCTGAACCCAGGCCCAGAGCAGCCTGTACCATGGATGTCCACAGAGGGAGAAAAGAGAACGCCTTCAGGACTCACGGGAAGCCCAAGAGGTCATTTACTGAGGCTGAAAGCATAAAAAATAAATAAATAAATAAATATATAAATATAATGGAAAGTAGAGGGATGCTGAGTGGTTTTGTGGAGGGGTTCAGGGCTTTCCTGACAGCGGCCAGAGTCACTGGTGAATCTCCATAGCTCCCATCTGTGCCGGGAGACCCGGAGCAAACACCAGCCGCCCCTGAGAGCCTGTGACATCACTGCAGAGGGAAGGGGAAAAGGCCAGGGGTGAACTCAGAGCCAAAGCAAACTCCACCAACCTGCCCTAAGGGCACTTGGCGAACCTGGTGAGGAGCTTCCCTGACGCCAACACCCAAAGGAAGAGAGTTACAAGATGCGTAAGGGAAGGGCCACCTGCCAGGTGGGAGGTACCAGCTCCGTCTGCCCGAGGGCGGACCTGATTTTGCTCTTTCCCAGCTGTGTGCCCGAGTCACTTAACGTCTCTGAACCTCGCTCCATTCAATGGGGCTTTCGAGAGCCCCCACTTTCTAAGGCTTGAGGTGAGCAAGCTTTATAAGCGACTTCGCCAGCAGCCCTGAGCACAGTCTGCAGAGACAGGGTGATTCCTTGAAGACGAGAGAAAACCTTTCTGGGCCTCCTTGGAAGGCCCACAGGAGATCATGCAGTGCGAGGCCAACTACCTACGAGCACTCAGGCACAAACCTGGGGTGACGGGCGGTGCTGCTAGGAGCACAGTCGGATGGGCTCAGGGAAGGAGAACTGTACCAAGGGACCCATCACCCATGGCCACGTGTTTCCCTGTCCTGATCTGGGGAGACACCATGAATCCTGTGGGGTTCGGTTACCACTCCACCAAAGAGCCTTCACAGATGTGAAAGCAGAGCAGCTGGGAGCAACCCAGTGGGAACAGAGCTGCCACCTGCCTGTGGACAGATGCCGGGATCGCCGGCAGGAAACAGTAACAGAGGAGGCCAGGTCATGTCCGGGCTCGGCTAGAGGGCGAGGCTCGCTTCCCATCTTCTCATGGGATGCTCAGACTCCACCACCTTCTCAAAGGAGTGGGAGCAGGGTCCCAGCTGACATCCCCAAAAGGCAGAGAAAGTAAAAAACATGAGTAACCCAGGTGAACCTGTCCAGGTGAATGTGACAGAGACACTGGGACCACACATGCCAGACTTCAGAGGAAGAGGAAATCCACTGGAAGGAGTTAAATGTCCGTGAGCTGCGAGTGTGGGTCACTGCCCCCACCCCGAGTCTCCTTTCCTACCGAGAGGAACAGAAAACCAATCAGAGAAAATGAACAGTCACAGCCCCCGCCCGGCAAGGTCCCAGAGGACTCCCTCAGGGTCCCCATCCCATCCCGCTGCAGAATCACCATCCCGGAGAGGAAACTCGGGAACCTGCCCTGGAAGAGCGTCCGGGGATGCTGAAGCGCGTTCAACTTGGGTACCACTGAGGTGGGCATCAGCTCCACTGTGGGATGCTGAGACCAGTGGACGGGAGGAAGAGTGTGGCAGGCCTCCGAGAGACAGCCAAGAGGGGAACGATAGGACAAGGGACCCCCCCCCGGAAGCAGGAGAAGAGGGGCTTCCTGGGTGTACAGGTGAGAGCAGGAGCCATGCAGCAACCATACCTCCAACTCTGCTGGCTTACGAGCAAATTCAGTCACCCGAAGAGTCTCCTTTGTAAAGTGGCTCGGGCCAAGTATAAGTGAACCGTTTTAATTTTCAATTTTGTTGTTGTTGTTCTGGTGCCACACCTGGCAATAGGCAGGGCTTACTCCTGGCTCTGCAGTCAGGAACTGCTCCTGGCTGTGTTCAGGGAACACACGAAATGCCGGGGACCGAACCCAGATCGGCTGCATGCAAGACAAATGCCCTACCCACTGGACAATCTCTCCAGCCCATATTTATTTATTTCGTTATTTATTTTTGGTTTTGGGGGGATGTTGCAGCGCCCTTTAGTGCTCATGGAGTCCCCTGGCTATGTAATCAAGAGTGATCCCTGGCGGGGCTCAGGAGGAACATCCACAATGGGGGAGGGGGTGATAAACTGGGGTCATCCACATGCAAGGCAAGAACCTCACTTCCTGTGCTGTGTCTCAGCCGGAATGTCCCCTTTCTAAAATATGCAGGGGACACAGCAGAGGCCCAGCTGGAGGATGCTGGGCAGGAAGCAAGAAGAGGTGTTCCCAGGACAGCCTGAAACGCGGTCTGCTGCCGTGGGGGGATCCTCACCACGGACCCCATGGAGGCTCTCCAAAGAACATCCCCAAGAACATTCTGGAAGGCCCTGGATGGGGGGGGGGTCCAGGGGGCTCAGCAGTCTGCACCCTGGCAAAGACAAGCAAGCCCAAGGCCGGGCACAGGCCAGGCACAGGGCACATGCCAGGGCTGAGGCCTTGCCTGCAGATTCAGAAGCTGGTGGAGTGGACGGGGCCATTAAGAGAGCTGAGGAATTTAGAGAAGAAAGGCCACCCCCCCCAAAGACCTTATGGGCACCTTCAGACCATGCTGGGCAAGGACTCAGGTGCATGTGGGACCAGGGATAGGATAGGATAGCGAGTAAAGCACTCGCCTTACACACAACCAACCCCGGTCAATTCCAGCACCTCATAAGGTCCCCTGAGCCCTGCTCGGAGTGATCCCTGAGCACAGAGTAAGCACTGACTAAACACCACACACTGCTGGTGTGGCCCCCAAAACCAATCCAAAAATATAACTCAGGTGCATTTGGACAAAGAGCCCCCTGCGGCCACAGGTGGTACATAAGGCACTGCAACATCATGCAAAGAGGCAAGACTGGCATTCCAATTGCAATGTGCATTTATAGACTGGCAGATAGAAATGCCCCAGGGCAGGAGTGCACACATCGCATACAGGAGCACTGTATGGTCCCCCAGCACGCTGGGAGAGATTGAGCACTGAGTAGGCAAGCACCACTGAAGTGCAATCTAAAACTTTATGTGTGTGTGGGGAGAGGTGAAGGGGCAAGGGGCTGGGTCACACCCATTCGTGCTCAGGGATCACTTCTGTGAGGGGGTTGGAGGACTATATGCAGGGATAGAACCCAGGTCCACTACATGCAAGGCAAGAGCCTTAATCTCTATATTATCACTCTGGCCCTAGGGAAAAAATAATTTTAAGCCCAAAGGCTGGGGAATATTTACGCAGAATACACCATTCTCCACATGCTAGAATATCACAGAGCCACTGAAGACAGTGTATTTGAAAATAATGCAGATTAAGTTTTGCTAACTCATTAAATTAGATAAGAACAACTGTGCACTGCTTGAGAAAGAACTGGGGGAAATAAGGTAACAGGTCCCAACTAGAAGTTTATGTGTAAGAACATGAGGTCTCAATGCCCTTTTAGAAGAGGGCTTCTTAAATTTTTCCCGCTCACCCCACTTTTTTGCCAGAACAAGGCAACCCTTCTGTGTGTGCTGCCAGAAACACTTCCACTTCACCACTAGGTTGATTTTGAATGAATTTCTGGTCATTGCCTATCCAGAAACTTTTGATTGTTGCCAAATCTTTTGTGCTACCCACAGTTACATGACCCATAGTTTAAGAAGTCAGGTTTTAGAAAAAGCAAATTGCTTACACTATGGGGGGGGGGGGGGAACTGCTTGACATCATTCAAGCTCCATGAACAGGGAATCAGAGCCATCCTAAGATGTGATTTCCGAAGCTTGATAAGAACCTCTGTTGGCCAGACAGCAGGAAAACCAGCAGCACACCTACACTGTGAGGAGGCCACCTCACAGAGACAGGAGTCCTCACATACCGGAAACCGGGACCTCAGTAGATACTGAGTAGAAGACCAGGATCCGCGGCAAAGGGAAGTGAATGTTGCAGAATTAGGGTTGCTCTACTCCGACTCTGAGACGGCAGTGGGATCCTAAACTATCCAGGTGACCCATAGAACCACAGAACCCTTTCAAGTAACTCCACAAGGGAGGGAATGAGGCCAGGGCAGACGCAAGGGTAGGGTGGCAGCATCACTGCTGGCTTAGGGCTAAGCTGCTTGAGTCGCTGCAGGAAACCAAGACGCCAGGAGGGGAGAGCATCTGACAGGACCCTTCAAAATCACAACTGACTCGGGTTCCCTCCTTGGGGAAGGGCTGCCTGAAATGGGGGTGGGGGGTGCGAGGACCGGAAGCAGAGAGCAGATGAGGGGGAGAGACGGCCTCCCAGAGTTCCTGAACCGTAGGGTTCTGCTCATCCTGGTCCCCGCCCCAGCCCATCCTGATGGCATGCATCCCCAGCTCATCTCTGCTGTCCCACTGGCCACCGCCTCTGCTCTGGTCCAGGATCCCATCGCCCTCCTCCTCACTCCACCCATCTAGTCTCACACTGCAGGGAAAACCATCTTGACCAAAACACACATGGGACTCCAGCCCTCACTGTAACTAGAACTCTGTTCTAAACAAGAGCCCTTGAGGTAATTCAGCTTTCTTGGCTCTGACCCCCAGGGCCTCTGCCCACGCGTACAAGCCCTCCCAGGCCTCCCGCAGGTACAACTTGCATCTAGAAATGACCACCATTCAGTTCTGGTCCCGTTCGCTGGCCAACCTTGGCTGGGGCCTCTCCCACGGACCTGGTCCCCACCTCCCTCTCCTGACCCCTCTGACATTCAGCCCAAGGGACCTCGATTGGATCCTATAGCTCATTCTTTGCAGAAAGCTGCTGCTGCTGCTGCTGCTGCTGCTGCTGCTGCTGCTGCTGCTGCTGCTGCTGCTGCTGCTGCTGCTGCTGCTCCTCCTCCTCCTCCTCCTCCTCCTCCTCCTCCTCCTCCTCCTCCTCCTCCTCTCCTCCACCTCTCCTCCTTCTCCTTGCCAAACTGCATCCGCTGCCCCGGGGCGCTCCCACAACTTTCCCCGCCAGGCCTGTGTCAGTGGCTGGCATGCCAGCTGCTCCCGCAGAAGCCTGTACCTGTGTCCGGAGGTCCAGCGTCCCCCTCCCCCCCCCACCCCCAAGGGTCAGCCAGGGTGCAAAGGTCTTAGGAAATCCAAAGACAGAGGTCCGGGCCGCGGCGGTCGATCCCGCTCCGAGAGGCCAAGGCTTCCAAGACCGCGCTGCTGCGCCCCTCCCGGCTTCCCGGGCGGCTTCTTCCCGGGGGTCCCGCCGCCCGCGCCCCTCACCTGGCCGCCTGCATCAGCGCGCTCCAGCCGTAGTGGTTGCGGCTGTTGACGGCGGCGCCGCGCCGCAGCAGGAAGCGCACGAGCGGCTCGTGGCCGCCGGCCGCGGCGAACTGCAGGGCCGTGTTGCCCGCCTCGTCCGAGCTGTCCACGGGCACGGGCGCCCCGGCCGCCGCCGCCGCCGCTTCGGCCCCCGCGGGCTCCGCGGCCGCGTCGGGCTCCGCGCCGCGCTCCGCGGGCTCCGCCGCGCCCGGCTCCAGCAGCCGCCGCGCCGTGTCCGTGTCGCCCTGGTCGCAGGCGCGCAGCAGCAGCTGCAAGGCCGGGGCCAGCGCGCCCTCGCCCATCGCGCCCCGCCGGCCGCCCCGCGCCCGGCCCCGGCCCCGGCCCCGCCGGCCGCGCCGGCTCCGCCCCCGGATACCGCGCGCCGGCGCCCCCTGCCGCCCGCCCGAGCCACTGCCGGGGCCGGGCCGGGCCGGGGTCGGGCACGCGCGCCTGCCGGGGGCGGGCCCGGGCGGGGTCGGGCACGCGCGCCCGCTAGGTACCCGGACAGTGTCGGGCACGCGCGCCGCCGAGGCCGGGTCGGGCACGCGCACCCGTTGGTTACCGGGACGGGGTCGGGCACGTGCGCCACAGAGGCCGGGTCGCGCACGCGCGCCCGCTGGGTGCCAGGACGAGGTCGAGCACTGCAGCGCGTCTCTTGGGTGCCGGGCCCCCTCGAGCACGCGCGTCCACTGGGTGCGGCCGCGCGCCGGGCCGGGAACGCGCCTCCAACAGCGTCGCCTTGGCGTGGCGGTGGGTTCCCGGAAACTCCGAGCCAGGGGAGCCCACCCCCTCGCCAAGGCTCGCTGAACCTCCCGGCCTTTTCCGCACGCCCTGGCCACTGCGCTAGCGGGCTCTGGAAGCTTCCTGTCCTGGAGGAGTTAAAAGTGGCCGCCCAGCGCGCTTTAGAGAGTTGATGGCTGCATTAAGGGACTGGGTGGGTCAACTCTGTGCTAGCTCCCTTCTCCCCTCCCCCCCCCCCCCCCCCCCCCCCGCCGCCTTGTCCAGCGACGGCCCTTAGTGGCAGCCCTGACCTGCCATAGAGGTCTACAGGCTGTAAAGGCCTCCAGCAGCTTCTCCCATTTTATCTTAGGTTCTAGTATCTGCACCATCTGAGACTTAGTTACAAATACACAATTTCAGAACCCACCCCAAATCAACTAAATCAGAATCGCTGCGTGGGGAGTCCACCCCCATTGTATAGTAATGCTTCCAGGAGGTTTTCGTGCAAACTCAGTCAAATCTGAGCCTCAAACCGTCCCCAAAGACTGCTCAGTGATCACTTCCCATTTCCAGAGGTGGGAACTGACGCTTAAGGAGGTCCCATCTTAGTTAGGGCCACATTTAACTATCCCTCAGGCCGGTTTCTGATGGGCGCCGCCGGGCTTTGCAATTCCTAGTCCAAATCTCTGCCCAATCTGCATTCGTGTTTGTTAAGCACCTATTATGCTTACCAAACAGGCAGTGTTCTAGGTGCTGGAGAAGGTGCAGGCAACCTCTAAAATACCTCCCCTCTCCCTGGAATACCCCACCACGTAAGTGACCTGTATGATGGTGAGCAGTGCTCTTCAGCCAATAAAAAGAATGTGAATCTGAGGATGGGATGCTATTTTATACCCGAGTGGGCAGAGAAGGGAACACTGAGGTGTGACATTTGCACAGAGCAGTAAGGAAACACACACACGCACACACACACACATCTGGGGGAAAGAACAGCCCCTGCAGAAGGAAAGAGCAGCTTCCCCACCTGCCCTTTGGGATAATGACTTTCTGATATTAACTTTCTGATCTGGGGTGGGAATGGGCTTCCACAGACCTTGCGGTAGGGTCCCCAAGCCTAGCATACAGCCAGACGTCCTGTAGGTGTGTAATGATGACTGTTGGATGACTAGGTCCCTCAGATATGTAGGATTTTAATAGGAAGCTGATGTGATGAGTGCAGGAGGGAGGAATGAGAGACTTGGCATTGGCAGATCCCAGAACGTGGTAGTGCCCTTGGATCAGGACCTGCTTGGATGGAGGAAAACAAAAGATGCGAAAAGTCTTGAAAACTGACAGACCTCAGAGAGCTGGGTGCCAGGATGAAGGCTGTGGGACCTATTCTGTGAGTAACGGGGAGCCGTGGGAAGTGTCTGAGAAGGGAGTGACAAGTGGCTTTCATCGGACTGTGTGGTTCAGTGCTTAGAGTGTCTCAAGCCTCACCCACAGATTTTTTTCACTCAAGCACTAGGAGTGAGGCTTGCGTGCTGAGAGTGTTAGCTCAGGATATTGGGACGTCCCAGCTAAAGGCTCCTACCCAAATGCGAAGTCCTCACAGCAGCAAACAGGGGCAAGAGATAGAAGCTTAGTCAGGAATACCCCACACAACCCCATCATTCCTTCTGGTTTGGTTTGTTTTCAGTATGGCTGTCTCTTGTAACCCAAGCCTAAACAAATGCGTATTTTCTTTTTAAAATTTAGGGTTCAGAGGCTGGAGCAATAGCACAGGGGTAGGGCATTTGCCTTGCACGCGACTGACCCAGGTTGATTCCCAGCATCCTATATGGTCCCCCGAGCATCGCCAGAAGCAATTCCTGAGTGCATGAGTCAGGAGTAACCCCTGTGCATCACCAGGTGTGACCTCCCCCCCAAAAAAGGGTTCATGCCATGCTGTGTATGCTATTCTGAATCTTCTTCCTCTATTTTTTCCCCCACTTACCCAGTGGCTTGGGCATCTTTCCATGTGGGCAAATACAGCTCCACTGCTTTCATGTAGCACCATTAATCAGATCGTTCAGGCATATTTTCATGCTGCAATTAGCTTGTTTCAACGTCTTTGCCATTGTTAAAAGTCCTGCATTGGTGGAGAAAACTAAAAACACACCAATTACAGAAGTATGAATAGGAGTTACTGGGGGCCAGAGTAGTAGGCATCCATGGCTACCTTGGGCCTGAAGGATAGATAGGGAAGGGACTGGTGTTCTTCTGCAAGAAGGGAAACCAGGAAGAGCTACCAGATAAAGAGTAGCACATAGCTAGGAGGGAGAGGTACATAGCCAACACCATTCCCAGCCCAGCAACCCTGCAGGGAGCAATTCCCAGAAGGAAGCAGGCCTCTGACCTCTAACCCCTGACCCCCACCTGCCCTCATTGGCCAAACCGGCTGTGAACTAGAGGTGATGTTGTCCCTGCTGTCAGTCTTACAGTAGAGCAAGGTGGGAGAGACTCAGATGCAAAGAAAGACTTGCTGCTCCAAGTACAACCTGGAACCGTGCCATTGGTCCCTGAGAGACTGGTACCTTGGGCCAATGACTCTGGTGCATGCCATTTCTGAAGCCTGGATCCTGCACATTGGTCTCCGTACCACCTCATGTACCTGTGTCCCTAGAGTCTTGCTATTTAGGAGTCCTCCTCTGGCATTTGTTCTTACTGATCCCTGAGTTGCTCTGGGTCCTCTGAGGACCCAATACCAAGATGGTTTTTGTTTCTGGAAGGAATGCTGTGTAGGCTTAAGGGAGCAAGGAGGAGGGAATGGGAAGAGAAGAGACCCTGATGCAGGCCCTGGAAGGAAGGGTGGGAATTGCTGCAGCCAGCGGGGCTATTCTGGGGAAGGCTTGGCTAGCTCCAGTGGTAGTTCCTGAGCAAAGGTGGCTGGCTGCAGTATCCTGAACCAGACAGACAGGCTCTGGTACCCCCGCATGGTTCGTCGCCAACTGGGAGAAGTCAGGGGTAGTGGAGCCTCAGGAAACACCTACAAAAGTAGGAAACAGCAGCTGGAGGCTCTCGGCCAAGCTGTGCTCCTCACAGCTTGTGGGTTCTTTTGAAGGGTGGTGAATCCTCATCACCAAAATAATCCCTGTAGGACCAGCACTGATTGCTGGCCTTCCATGTGCTACTGTTGTGTGTTATGTGACAGGAGCGTGACCTGTTATATGAGAAGGACCCAACCTTTGACTTCCAGAAAAAATCCACACAGCTGCCAAACTCAGTGGTCAGTGAGTTTCCATTGTCATTTCAAAGGAAGTCATTGTCTTGGATCACTGACAACTTCATTGAAGAACCTGGTTGGGCAGAGGGACTGGATGCAATCTGGGCAGCTCTAGGTAAAGGAGTGGAAGTAATTGGAAAGAGGAAGACAAGAAGAACAGAAGCTGGTGCAACGAATTGAAAACGGATAAGGAGGGCTGGAAATAAAATAGAACCTAAAGGACATTTATCTACTTTTATGGGCCGAACTCTTTTTCCTAACAAGATAATAATATGTGTCATAATAAGCTCCAGTGTGGGCTCTTGAAGATCAAGAACCCCACAATCACACACTGCATGTCAAAATAGGGAATCAATTCATGGAAGAAATTAGTAGAATGAAAATTAAACAACTGCAGAATCTCACTCATCAGAAAAAGATAGAGTAAGGTTTATGGTTTGTTGAATATTCCTTTAGAGTTTTTCCTTTGCATATATTAAATTAACATATCTTACCAAAATAGCATCATGTTCTCTGCACAGGTGTACAATTTGCCTTTCTTAACTTAATGCATCGCAAGCACATTTGTCTGTTAAGCACCAAAAAAATGAGTGCTGTTCTGGCAAAGGACACCCTGATATATTCATGTAGGTCTGTGTAATACTTTATTTAAAATATCCTATTAGTGAATGAGCATCTGGGTCATTTTCATCCTTTCATTTTTATATTCAGCAATATAATAAACTTCCTGTATTCTTATCTCTCCAGCACTTGGTAATTTATTGAATAAATTCCTAGATGTGAATTTGCAGAATAGGAAGGCTCTGATTAGGAACACTTCTAATAATGTTGTCTGCATGCTGGAGCAATAGCACGGTGAGTAGGGCGTTTGCCTTGCACGCAGCCAACATGGGCGGACCCGAGTTCAATTCCTCTGCCCCTCTCGGAGAGCCCGGCAAGCTACCGAGAGTATCTCGCCCGCACGGCAAAGCCTGGCAAGCTACCCGTGACATATTCAATATGCCAAACACAGTAACAAGTCTCAAAATGGAGACGTTACTGGGTCCGCTTGAGCAAATCAATGAACAACAGGAGGACCGTGACCATGACATGCTCTTCAAAAGGTTACACCAGCTTACATTCTTACCAACAGTATGTGAGTCCCTTTTCTTTACATCGTTGCCAACCCTGGATTAATAATGTTTTTAATATTTGCCAATATGATAGTGAAAATATACTTCTAAGTAAGTTCATTTTGCATACCTTACAAATAGAGAAGTTGAGCCTATTTAGTGTGGGTGAGGTGCACACACCACTGTGTTCAAGGTTAACTCCTGGCTCTGTGCTCAGGGGTCACTCCTGGTGGAACTGAGGGAACCATAGGCAATGCTGGGG